GCAGCCGTAAGAGGGCGACACAATCGAGCTTTATTAAAGTCGGTCTGGAGGAATTTCAAAGTACTGATTACTAATCAGGCAATGTATAACGGTGATTTAAGATCGTGTTAAATGGGGGTTGCATAGTTTACAGCAGTACCACGCACAAAGATAGACAAATTTATATTTTCTAAGTGAAATCCGCGACACTAGTTCAAAATTGGCGCTTAGAAAACAAAGGAATGACCATGCGTTGTTGCTTCTCAAATATTTGTTAATTTTCTTCAAGGGGACAATTGGTTTTCACTGCAGGGCTGTTAAATCATCTAGTCAACGATTATGGAGCAAGAGCAATTTTTAAGAGCGTGAAAAATCTTTTAAAGGCAGGGGTCACCCGTGCATCTTACCGACCGTGCTTAGCGTCACAAACAGAAAATCTGAAACGGTTGTTGATTGGCGAACAGAAATTCTCTTGGCCAATCAGAAGGAGCCTTTTACCGAGGTCAGGCATTGCTCGGCCATCTTGTTATTTTGATGAGAGAAAGATATTTAGGTTGGAATCAGTACGATTTGATTGAAAACTTGTTTGCTGTTAGTTTTTTTTGTGAAAGATAGCTTCTCTTGGTATCCGTTGTGAGTAGGCCCTTCCTCACTTAATCTGGTCATATGTTTTACATGCTTTTGACGCTCTTTTAGCAAACTCCTCGTGCTGGAGATCAGCACACAGCGGCGAGCAATGTATGCGCAGTAATGCACATATACGCGCGGGAAGAATGTGTGCTTCAGTAAACAGTTAACTTGTGTCATTGTCACATCAAGGATCAGAACTTCCCACAAAGTGAGACTTTAATACATCCGACATACCGATCGTAGTCCCTCGCATGTGTTTGAGTATGTCCTTTTGTTGATGTTGCTCTTTGGTGCGCGTCGTTTTCGGGTGGGCTGATAGCCTAGGCCTACCCTGTTTGGTCCAGCAGGGGGGTTAACGTCCCGTACTGTTTTCTCATCACATTTTGCCCGGGACAACCTGTTAAAAGTATTAATTTCACAAGTATAAAGTTTCTCTTACTCGTCAGGGGTGGGTGTGTACTTGTTACTCAGAGACCCCGGCTGACACAATATCCAGGAAGGGTGCTGCAACTATAAGCCCTAAAACCTGGAATGCTCTCTTCTTCAATAAACTTAAGATTATAATTTATCTGTATCCACAACTATTCTTTATTACTATGGGGTTAGTGGTTTTGGAAGTGTGTCAAAGCAACTAGTAATGCCTTCTAAAAAAAATAAAAAAATAAGCAAATGCTATTTCCTTGCTGTTGGGGTTAAGTATTGTGACTATTCTCTGGTGATTGAAAACGTCATTCATAGTTTATCCCAGCCGTCTATTTCACATTCTGGAGATTGAATGAAGTCTTTCCCGATGTCTCTCAGCACTACAGTCTTTTGTTAGGCTGCTCATAATTTAAACTTTGAATGGTGTTCCATACATATTCCATGGAGTTGTCCTGTTCCCTCAATTATTTCTTGGATCTCATACCTAGACCTCTTTGAAGACTTATACAATTGTCGCTAAGTATAGTAAAAACGGTGATGGTTGTCCTTAGTATGATGTCAATGACATTAACTTAACCTCATTTGTAAGGGTGTGGGAACATACTTTTATCTATCATGTTAAAGTATTCAAACATTGCTTAACTCTTTCTTTGCTTTCTGACTGTTGCCAATGATTCTGTTTGTGTGTATGTGGTGATGAGTGATTCTTGCTGTGTGGTTCCTGCAGAGTGCTGTATGATGTGGAGTGTGTCAGTGTGACAGTGATCGTAAGAAATGTGGCTATTTAGAGTGCGGAAGAAAGAGAACGGCTGCAAGTGACAATGACGACTGATCGACTGACTTTGAGTGTGGGTGTGTGTGTGTAAGTGTTAAAGCTTCATAATGGGAATTGCTTCTTAATTAATCTTATTAGGTAGGCGAGTACTGACACTCCCTCCCTACTATTCTCACTGTACAAGATTTTATCATGAATCTGCACTTTGTTTGATTTCTCGATTCAAATGATATAAGCATTTCCTGTTGATATATTTTTTTTTTTTGATGCAGACTAATTTTTCTACTGGTTTTATACCTGACATGTTTCCTATAATCAATCACATTATAAGGGGTTGGGTAAATTCCATTGAACATCCCTTAGAAAATATAAATTTGAGAAGTTGCCTCACAGTTGGATACCAAGAGAAAAAACCCTTTTCTTTCATAGATTTTTCTATGATCACAGTTTTAGTTTTAATTTCTACAATCTTATCTTCCAGGAATGAGCAGATGAATGATATTGTGTGGAGAGGTGTGCTGTGGTGTTCTGCTTGTGGAGAAAGCCTTACTGGCTAATGTATGATTGATTCATCTTTTTTATTCTGTACATGTAAGTGGGATCTCAATTTGTCTTTATTTGACAATCTGACCTTAGTAAAACACTTGTTTCCGCTAAAAATGTAAACAAACTGTGAATGCCTTGACTGTTAGTATCCCCCTCTATTTTGCCTTCTTGCCAGAAGTCTGTTATATTTCTATTATCTCTCTGTAGAAGTGTGAGTGAAAATGGCAACCTTGTCTGAGCAAGCATCCAAATTGCTGGACTTCAACCAGAAGTTGGATATAACTCTCCTTGACAACATTGTAGGATGCATGTATGCAGGAATTGGTGAACAGGTTAGTTAAAACCATTTATTCTTATTTAAATTTGCAATTTTTCATTTTATTGTTTTCAAAATTAGGGAGTAGGTTTTTTATGGTGTTAATATTATTCATCCTACTTCTTTGTTCGTATTCCCTCAGCAAAGAGTGGCGCAAGAAGTCCTCACAACCTTGAAAGAGCATCCAGATGCATGGACCCGTGTGGATGCTATTTTGGAGTATTCCAGTAATCAGCAAACAAAATACTATGCTCTTCAGATTTTAGAACAAGTCATCAAAACTAGATGGCGGGTTTTACCTAGAAATCAGTGTGAAGGTGAAAAACATGTGCTGTCCTATCATCTTGGTGTTGTATTAATAATCATAAGATCTGTTTGTATTGAAGTTTTATTTTCTCTCTATTTAGGCATTAAAAAGTATATAGTAGGTCTCATAATTAAAACATCTTCAGACCCGGAAACAATGGAAAGAGAAAAGATTTATTTAAACAAACTGAATATGATACTTGTGCAGGTAATTATCTTCCAATTTGTTCACCTCTACAGGTTTTCTCTGTACAATTTTAATCTTCTTTCTTTTTTCCTCGTTTTTAAGGTCTTGAAGAGAGAATGGCCCAAAAATTGGGAGTCATTTATACCTGATATTGTGGGTGCTAGCAAGACTAACGAAAGTCTTTGTCAAAATAATATGGAGATCCTAAAACTTTTGAGTGAAGAAGTTTTTGACTATTCTAGTGGGCAAATGACTCAGACAAAAGCAAAGCATCTGAAGGATACAATGTGTTCAGAATTCTCTCAAATATTCCAACTTTGCCAATATGTGATGGAAAATTCCCAGAATGCTCCCTTGGTTGGAGCCACTTTAGAAACACTTTTAAGATTCTTGAATTGGATACCCCTTGGATACATATTTGAAACAAAAATAATTAGCACGCTCATATTTAAGGTACAAATACTTATATTTTTTTTTTCTAGTATCTTCAAAGAGTCAACATACTTAATTCTTTAATTTATCTTCTAGTTCCTTAATGTACCAATGTTTCGAAATGTGACCTTGAAATGCTTAAATGAAGTTGCTGGAGTATCAGGAGCAAACTACGAAAACATGTTTATTTCATTATTTACTCAAACAATGGGTCAATTAGAAGTGGTCAGTATACCTTAATGGTTAAGTTCACTTAACTTATTGTATTTTTCGTCTTGATTGTTCTCAAATATTTGGATTGTCTTAGATGTTGCCGATCAACACAAACATCAGAGACGCATATGCATGTGGTCAAGATCAGGAACAAAACTTCATTCAGAATTTGGCAATGTTTTTGTGCACATTTCTCAAGGAGCGTGGTCAACTTGTTGAGAAAAAGGGTCTTAGTGAAGAATTGTTGAAGGTGTGGACAGTGCTCCCTTATTATTTAATTCTTGTAGCACTTGTTATTTTTTGCGCTTATTAACCATTTGTTCCTTCAGGCTCTTCATTACCTTGTTCTGATTTCTGAGGTTGAAGAGGTGGAAATTTTCAAAATATGCTTGGAATACTGGAATTATCTGGCAGCTGATCTTTACAGTGAGAGTCCTTTCAGCCCCCCACCCACTCTCTACCTCAAACCTTATTCTAATCTTGCTGTACAATCTCGTCGGGAATTTTATTCTCGCGTTCTCACCAAGGTACATTTAATGATTGATTGTATAAGATTTTAAATTCCATACCCTTATGTTGGTACTGAATTTCTCTTACCTACATTTGTTTAGGTTCGGTATATCATGATCAGTCGCATGGCCAAACCCGAGGAAGTTTTAGTGGTTGAGAATGAAAATGGAGAGGTGATCCGAGAATTTATGAAGGACACAGACTCCATTAACCTTTACAAGAACATGCGTGAAACCTTGGTTTATCTCACTCATTTGGACTGTGCTGATACAGAATTAGTCATGACTGAAAAATTACATCTGCAGGTCAATGGACGTGAATGGTCATGGAAAAATCTAAACACAGTAAGTTTAAAGTGTAATTGTGTCATTACTGTAGTTAAATTATTTCTGCCACGCTTTTTATTATTTCTGTTTCTATTTTCCCTTAGCTTTGTTGGGCTATTGGTAGCATCTCAGGTGCAATGCAGGAGGAGGATGAAAAAAGATTCCTTGTCACTGTTATCAAAGATCTATTGGGCCTATGCGAGCAGAAGAAGGGAAAGGATAACAAAGCCATTATAGCATCAAATATTATGTATGTTGTTGGGCAATATCCTCGGTTTCTACGTGCTCATTGGAAGTTTTTGAAGACTGTTGTAAACAAACTGTTTGAATTCATGCATGGTAAGAATAATTTTTTTTAATTATCTTTTTTGCGTTTTATTATTTCGGGTGCACGTATTGCTTACATAAATTATTGTTCTTGTATATCTAGAAACGCATGAAGGAGTTCAAGATATGGCTTGTGACACTTTCATTAAAATAGCCATCAAGTGCCGCCGGCACTTTGTAACCACCCAAGTTGGCGAAGTGATGCCTTTTATCGAAGAAATTTTGAGTACTATCAGCACTATTATTTGTGATCTACAGGCTCAGCAGGTACTATTTACAAACAATCTGTCTCTTATGGTTCCCACCATTGTCATGTCTTATGATTTTACCTGTTTGTCCAGGTTCACACGTTCTATGAAGCTGTGGGGTACATGATTAGTGCTCAGGTGGATACGATGGCACAGGATGTACTCATTGAGAAGTATATGATGCTCCCAAACCAAGTATGGGATGACATCATTAGTCAGGCCTCAAAGGTAACTATTGTGGAATCTATTATCAACCTAGTTGTTAGTTCATGCAACTCTATCATTTGTTTGTATTATCCCCCTTTCTTTGCCGTTTAGAATGTGGATGTCCTTAAGGATCCAGATGCAGTAAAACAGTTAGCAAGTATTCTTAAAACTAATGTTAGAGCTTGCAAAGCCCTAGGCCATCCATATGTTATTCAGGTAAGATGGTAGTATCTTGCGTGTAACTGGTCTTGTTTGTGACGATTTACAAATTTTTTGATTGGTCTGTAATTGTGTGATCTTTTTTATTTATGCATAGCTTGGACGCATATATTTGGATATGTTAAATGTGTATAAGGTCATGAGTACAAACATCAGTGCAGCTATAGCTGTGAATGGAGAGGCAGTTACAAAGCAGCCCTTGATCAAAAGTATGAGAGTTGTGAAAAAAGAAACTATTAAATTAATTGCTGACTGGATTTCACGTTCACAGGACCATGCTATGGTAATGGTGGTTGGCTTAACATTCAATCCCAATGTTTTTGTCTATTAGCTCTAAACTGTCAATTCTCTTTAGGTGTTAGAAAATTTCATTCCTCCTCTGCTGGATGCTGTTCTTCTTGACTATCAGAGAACAAATGTTCCATCCGCACGGGAACCTGAAGTTCTTAGTGCAATGGCTACAATTGTGAACAAACTCGAAGCCCATATCACTCCTGAAATTCCAAAGATATTTGATGCTGTCTTTGAGTGTACGCTTGACATGATAAACAAAGACTTTGAAGAGCATCCAGAGCATAGAACGAACTTTTTCCTTTTATTGCAGGTGAGTACCCATGGGTTTTCTTACTAATAGATTTATCTATCTAATTTAAACACATTGACCATTGAGAATTTTCCTCTTGCAGGCTGTAAACAATCATTGCTTCCCAGCTTTTCTCAATATTCCTCCCCCTCAATTTAAACTCGTTTTGGACTCAATTATATGGGCATTTAAGCACACAATGCGAAATGTAGCTGATACTGGCTTACAGATCTTGTATCAAATGCTCCAAAATGTAGAACAACATGAGGCAGCAGCCCAAAGTTTTTATCAAACATACTTTACAGATATTTTGCAACATATTTTCTCTGTTGTCACAGATACTTCTCACACTGCCGGTAGGATTATTTCCAGTTACTTTTCTTCGGAATATGCCTTATAAATAGTATTTCTGACAGAATATTTTTTCAGGTCTCACAATGCATGCCACTATTCTGGCCTTCATGTTTTCTCGTGTTGAGCAAAACAGGATAAAGGTAGCACTTGGACCAACCCCAGACAATGTAGCTTATATTCAAGACTTTGTTGCCTCATTACTACGAGCTGCATTTCCACATCTTACGGACAACCAAATTAAAATTACTGTTCAGGGCCTCTTCAATTTAGATCAGGCCATACCTGCTTTCAAAGAGCATTTACGTGACTTCCTTGTTCAGATTCGGGTAAGTGCACACAGCACTGAATTCAGTACAGCTTTCATTATGGCAAAGCCCCTTCATAATTTTTTGTACTTCCTTAGGAGTACACTGGTGATGATGACACTGATTTGTATCTTGAAGAAAGAGAGCATGAACTTCAGTTGATGCAAGATGAGAAGAGACGCATTCAGATGGCTGTACCCGGAATCCTCAACCCCCATGAAATCCCTGAGGACATGCAGGACTAGCGGCTGTGATGTGTGTTTGTGTGTTTACCGCTCTACAATGTGGTTTCAAACTGTATAAAGTGGCATAATTGTTCTGTTACTGTGAGAGAGAAAGTAGATTAGGTCATGTTGACGGTATGTGCAAGCACTTGCAACTTGATGATCGAGACCACCCAGTTTCACCCACCCACGCTAGTTGTTATTTCTATGGGATACATTACTCCTTCAAGTCACACCATGTATGCAAGTACTAATCAGTTTTAGGATCAAAATTTTGCAATATTACTCCTAATGTTCACTACATGATACATCACCAGAGGTGTCTCTCTCTATAATTTACCTCGAGTTTCCAGTAATAAGTCTAAATTTGTCAGTTCTGCCTCAAACTTGCATATTATTCAGTGTACAGCATGTAGTCAAGTGGTGAAACATTTTGTTTTATTTTGTAACCTCCCTATGGGCATTGCTGTTTGCATTTGTGTCTTTTGAAACCATGAGTGATCATCCCATTTTTGTTACTATTTGACATCAAGTTTTTTTTTATCAGTTTTATTTTTGTTTGGTTTTCCTTTTTTATTGTTAATTAATGCAATGTAGGGTGGTCCAATATGGATGGGTGGTTTTGTTGTGTCCTCTGTTAATTTTTGAATGTACAACTAAGACTGTGTGAGAAATTATGGAACATAAACTGCACCCATATAGAGCTTCCTGAATATTTTTAAAGTTTTCTTTTTTATTTAAAATTAAAAAAAAATGACTTTAATGTGTTTTACCAACGGGTCTTTTTGTTCAATCCTCATTTTTCAAAAAGCTCACAGTATTTTGGAAATTTTTGCACAGTGAGTGCTAATCTTCTGCTCTATTAGTATGTTATCACTGATTTAAAAGATTATTTTAACTTCACAGAGTAGCATCCCAAGAAAACTTGATTCTATATTTAAAAATTGTCTTCTATGAACATAGTTGTTAATCTTCTGGGAAGACAAGCTATTTGTGCTTTTTCAAAGAAAATTGGTGACCTTCACTCAGCTCCTAATATTTCTATAACATGTCATCTCTTCCCTTTTTCTTGTAATGTGCTTAGTTTTCTGTTTTTGATAAAAATACATTCTGTTGCATTCAGTAACATGGATTGGGAACAAGTGTTCTCATAATTATGGACTGACTAGTGCCGGGAGCTCTAGTCCGCATTTATACTAAAAGCTTCTCTGGATACTGCAAACAAGGGAATCTATTATGTATATTTATTAAATTATTTGTACTTGTAGGATAAGTTCCAACTCCATGAGAATGTTATCATGTCATTTGCTTTTTGATAAACACTACTGTTTGTAACCTGCCTCAGGCAGTGGTCAGCTTAGTTTAGTCTTGTGGTGCAGTATTTGTACTTTTTATATTCTGCTTGAAGCAATGACTCAATCTCAGTGAAAGTGCTGCACTTTCTTTTTATACATATTTTTGCATTTGTGAGGCAGGAGGGAATGTGGGGTAGGTGTCAGTCTCACTTTGCCTTGTCTTAAGTACTTGCGCCACTTACTGTTAACTTTTTGTGTCTAATACTGATTCTGGTTTGTATTGAAAATGAAAATGGTTTGAAGAATTACCCTGGTACCTGAAATTATCATTAGTGTTGCCTTAAAACAGTTCAATGATAATAATAGCGTGATTGAGTGAATTAGTCCGTGAGAAAGTTGGCTGACCAGCTAAGGTTTCCTTTATTAGCTACAGTGTTTTACTTGTGAGTAATGACGGCCTGCATAGTTAAGGGAGAGCGAATGGTGGATGCCTGGAGTGAGGGCGTATTTTGTGGGATATTGTAGCGAATGGAGGCTCCTCAGGTCTCATGTTGGTGTATCTCAGAGCATGGATGTGTTTGAACTGATGTGTATTGACCTCTGAATGTTGTATGGATGTGCTTCTGGTTGAGTGAGATTGCATGTGTGTGATTCTTGTTATTCATTCATTCAACCTGCTTACTTTGACAAATTAAGAAAGTTTCTTTGGCATTTTCTAATGTTTATTTCTTTTCTTATCTGTTAAAAGAAATCTTATGGATTAATTTGTTATTGGTTTCATCCAGTTTGTAGGGTTACTAGCCTTGATCCATGAAAGATTTTTGTTGTTGTAAAATTTTATCTGCACCTTGTAGTAATTACTGTTGATTCATCGATGAATTTGTTTTCTGCTCTTTCAGTAAATGAAGGAGCAAGGAGGAGCTTGTCACATTGGTCGAATTGCAGTGGAAACAGTGTCTACCATCAGTAGTTGAATTCCACTCTTAAGATCATAAAGACCCTTATCTCCCAAAAAGGAATTTTTTAATTTTTTTTAAATTACTTTTTTTTTTTTTTTTGTTCTCACCTTTACTATCCCTACTTTTCCTTTTCAGTGTGGGGTTAGGGAATGGGGGAGGACATCTCTTTCCTCTCCTCACATGTACATTAGCGTGTTGTGTATTTGTGTGAAGTGTTAGACTTTTGCTAAACTGTAAGTAATTCTTAGTGATCATTAATATAATTAATTATCTTTATTATACTTTTAACAGACTTTTTATTATGCCACATCCCTGGATTTTGTCACAATCCTGTCAAAAGTTTGGTTCTCTAGTCCATTTAAAACAAACTACTGCTCTAGCATTTCAAGAGTGTGGGTTCACAAAATAAGTCAAGTCTCATGATGTAATTGCAGATCTAGGCAGAACAATGATCACACAGTGCTCTCCACAAACCTATTGTTATTGAAATTTGCCTCAAATTAACATACATTAATATTTGTTCAAAGTTGATAAGACATTCTAACAGCAATAATGACACAAATAAGTACACATTTCTAAGTTAACTTCGTCCCTCCTTTGACAAACATGAGGGAACATCTGATTCAAAATTTCATTAGTAATACACAATTCATTCATAATCACATGTAGTACAGATGTTAAGAGCAACCTCACTTGTAAATATGTACAATATACTGAGCTTTAGTCCCCCAAAGAGACCTACACAGATAACAAATGGAACAGTCTTGGATGAATGACAAGAGTACAAAAAAGCTCCAAAGTCAAATGAATGAGTACGTGAAACTATTCAACACCAAACATTATTTTTGTTGAAGGGGCACAAGAAATACATGAAAACTTATCAAGAGCAAACCAAGGCTTGCTTGCTTAAGCTGAGATAAGCGAATATATCATCCTGAAATCAAAATAATTAACAGATAAATTGTACCATGTGGTATTTTAGTGCTGTAAAATGCATTTAGAAAAAAATGTACAAGAGGAAACTTACCCATAGAGATAGTAAAAGAAAGACAGCAAATAGAACGACAATTTAATCCATCCTTCTCGCTGGCATTTACCAAGAACATCTGCATTCATTATAGTAGTTGCATCATACAATCCAAGTTCACTCATGTAGGAAGGTCTATGAAGATACCTGAAGGAGAATGTCACATATATCTAAGTCAAGATTCAACACTTACTTCATTCGTTCATTCATTCAACTTGTGACATACCGATTAATATGGTAAGCAATGAGGGGTATATTGAGACATAGAGAGAAGAATTCTCCAGAAAACAGAAACAATATGTTGAAAGCAATGTGGAGAATGTATTCAGGAAGCACCAACTGAAAGTAATAATGTATGAACAATGGGATATAAATATTACTTGTCATTAACAAAATAAAAAATAAAGATAATAATAAAGCGATCCACACTCACTGGATTTAAACTTCTGCACTGTTCAATGGGGTTTTTATAATCTGTTTTAAGCTCATCAAATGCAATGACCTAAAACCAAAAAAATAAAGTCATTTCACTAATCTAAGAAAACAATTCAATAATTTTATGAAATTATAACAATTAAAACATTTTCATCGGATAGGAGGTTATCCGAATATTGAATGACTGCTACTTACATGAAAAATTGCAAGAAATATGAGGAAAGCATCTGCTATCAGAGCTATAATATAAGAAAACGCCGCTAGATTGAATGCCATCTTAAAGCGTGAGTAAAAAGAGGTAAAATCTTAGAAATATTTGCATTAAATAGGCGTATCAAAGTTGTTTACAGACAGATTTTCTGGACTCATCACATCTATTCGATAGTCTCGAGATTAGGTTTAGTCGCGTCACTGTAAGCTGAGCAGCTGAGGCAAGCGAGCTCATTGCTCAAGGCTCAAGCCTCAAGCGCTGAAGGCTTTTAAGGTAGGAGTATCACAAAAGGTATTAAATCCAACCGTCAAAAATTACGAAATGTCTAGAAGAAGTCCAGTCCTTCTTCTCAGCCCCGTGCTTCTGGAACTTAAATTTGCCGTATTCTATTCTACCGGCGCTGAATTTGAATGTGGATTACCACATTCATCAAAAATACAAAATAACTCACGAGAGTCAACAACCTTCGCCTTTTTAGTGCACTATGCAGTGTTTTATTTACACGAGTTGAATTCTAAAGTTCTAAAGGAAATGTCCCAATTGTATGTCCACGCGCACTTGTACTTATACCGCACCGCAAGCCTGTCGCCCCTGACCATGGCGGAGTAGGCAACCCGCCCTGCGAGTAGGAATGCGGTACAGCATGCCAAGCCAGAAATGCTACTTCTAGAAGACGCCTCTAAAGTTTAGGTCTATTTTCGAACCATATAGATGAAGCATTTCTGGGTGGGTAACTACAGAAGTGCGCGGGGTCAATCAGCCACCCGGTATGTCGGCTAGTAGTCCACAATGGTCACAGTTGTATCAAATACAAATTTGGGACATTGTTAAAGCGGTAACAGCGCCTCAAAAGATGCCTTGAAGGTTTCGAGTGGGTGATGGTGATGATGGTGAAACCAGGTGTGGGTCCGGGGGGCCGGCGTGAGGGTGGGGGGCGCGGTGGCAGTGGGGCTCCAGAGCGGCAGGGGAGGGGAGGACATCTCTTTCCCCTCCTCACATGTACATTAGCGTGTTGTGTATTTGTGTGAAGTGTTAGACTTTTGCTAAACTGTAAGTAATTCTTAGTGATCATTAATATAATTAATTATCTTTATTATACTTTTAACAGACTTTTTATTATGCCACATCCCTGGATTTTGTCACAATCCTGTCAAAAGTTTGGTTCTCTAGTCCATTTAAAACAAACTACTGCTCTAGCATTTCAAGAGTGTGGGTTCACAAAATAAGTCAAGTCTCATGATGTAATTGCAGATCTAGGCAGAACAATGATCACACAGTGCTCTCCACAAACCTATTGTTATTGAAATTTGCCTCAAATTAACATACATTAATATTTGTTCAAAGTTGATAAGACATTCTAACAGCAATAATGACACAAATAAGTACACATTTCTAAGTTAACTTCGTCCCTCCTTTGACAAACATGAGGGAACATCTGATTCAAAATTTCATTAGTAATACACAATTCATTCATAATCACATGTAGTACAGATGTTAAGAGCAACCTCACTTGTAAATATGTACAATATACTGAGCTTTAGTCCCCCAAAGAGACCTACACAGATAACAAATGGAACAGTCTTGGATGAATGACAAGAGTACAAAAAAGCTCCAAAGTCAAATGAATGAGTACGTGAAACTATTCAACACCAAACATTATTTTTGTTGAAGGGGCACAAGAAATACATGAAAACTTATCAAGAGCAAACCAAGGCTTGCTTGCTTAAGCTGAGATAAGCGAATATATCATCCTGAAATCAAAATAATTAACAGATAAATTGTACCATGTGGTATTTTAGTGCTGTAAAATGCATTTAGAAAAAAATGTACAAGAGGAAACTTACCCATAGAGATAGTAAAAGAAAGACAGCAAATAGAACGACAATTTAATCCATCCTTCTCGCTGGCATTTACCAAGAACATCTGCATTCATTATAGTAGTTGCATCATACAATCCAAGTTCACTCATGTAGGAAGGTCTATGAAGATACCTGAAGGAGAATGTCACATATATCTAAGTCAAGATTCAACACTTACTTCATTCGTTCATTCATTCAACTTGTGACATACCGATTAATATGGTAAGCAATGAGGGGTATATTGAGACATAGAGAGAAGAATTCTCCAGAAAACAGAAACAATATGTTGAAAGCAATGTGGAGAATGTATTCAGGAAGCACCAACTGAAAGTAATAATGTATGAACAATGGGATATAAATATTACTTGTCATTAACAAAATAAAAAATAAAGATAATAATAAAGCGATCCACACTCACTGGATTTAAACTTCTGCACTGTTCAATGGGGTTTTTATAATCTGTTTTAAGCTCATCAAATGCAATGACCTAAAACCAAAAAAATAAAGTCATTTCACTAATCTAAGAAAACAATTCAATAATTTTATGAAATTATAACAATTAAAACATTTTCATCGGATAGGAGGTTATCCGAATATTGAATGACTGCTACTTACATGAAAAATTGCAAGAAATATGAGGAAAGCATCTGCTATCAGAGCTATAATATAAGAAAACGCCGCTAGATTGAATGCCATCTTAAAGCGTGAGTAAAAAGAGGTAAAATCTTAGAAATATTTGCATTAAATAGGCGTATCAAAGTTGTTTACAGACAGATTTTCTGGACTCATCACATCTATTCGATAGTCTCGAGATTAGGTTTAGTCGCGTCACTGTAAGCTGAGCAGCTGAGGCAAGCGAGCTCATTGCTCAAGGCTCAAGCCTCAAGCGCTGAAGGCTTTTAAGGTAGGAGTATCACAAAAGGTATTAAATCCAACCGTCAAAAATTACGAAATGTCTAGAAGAAGTCCAGTCCTTCTTCTCAGCCCCGTGCTTCTGGAACTTAAATTTGCCGTATTCTATTCTACCGGCGCTGAATTTGAATGTGGATTACCACATTCATCAAAAATACAAAATAACTCACGAGAGTCAACAACTTTCGCCTTTTTAGTGCACTATGCAGTGTTTTATTTACACGAGTTGAATTCTAAAGTTCTAAAGGAAATGTCCCAATTGTATGTCCACGCGCACTTGTACTTATACCGCACCGCAAGCCTGTCGCCCCTGACCATGGCGGAGTAGGCAACCCGCCCTGCGAGTAGGAATGCGGTACAGCATGCCAAGCCAGAAATGCTACTTCTAGAAGACGCCTCTAAAGTTTAGGTCTATTTTCGAACCATATAGATGAAGCATTTCTGGGTGGGTAACTACAGAAGTGCGCGGGGTCAATCAGCCACCCGGTATGTCGGCTAGTAGTCCACAATGGTCACAGTTGTATCAAATACAAATTTGGGACATTGTTAAAGCGGTAACAGCGCCTCAAAAGATGCCTTGAAGGTTTCGAGTGGGTGATGGTGATGATGGTGAAACCAGGTGTGGGTCCGGGGGGCCGGCGTGAGGGTGGGGGGCGCGGTGGCAGTGGGGCTCCAGAGCGGCAGGGGAGGGTTGGGGGTGGTTGCTGCGGCGGGGGCGCCACGGCAAGCCCACCCCAGCCCCACCACATATTGATCGCGGCAGTGTCCCGGGCTGCGTGCGCATCGCCGCCACAGCGCACCTTCTCCCTCGCGGGAGGCCCTTCCGCCACGGGCGCGAGCGCGCGCCGGCCCTCCGGACGCAGTCCGGGCGAGGCGAGGCTCCGCGCGCACCACGGGAGGCCCTCCCGGACCGTCCCCCAGTGTTTACCAGGACAGCCATGTAGCCATGCCACATCAGATTCCCTTCACAGTCGTCTTCGCCTCAGGTAACTCTCTTTGCAGACGACGCCGAGGCCGCCCCCTCCGCCCCGCTGACCATGGACCTTTGGAGGGAGGGCCGGGGTCCGGGCTGCGCTTAGGGACGGGGAAGGGAGACTCGTGAAGTGGAGAGGTTATCGGGCCGTGTGAGTGGCGTGTCGTCACGTCTGGGTAGGTGTTGCTGGCACCCCTTTACGGGAGGTGACGAGTCGTGCTGGCCGCGTGCCGTGCGAGGGGCGCTGGCGACCCCCTGCTCGGGGGGCGTGAACAGGGTGGTGGACGTGAGGTGCAAGCGGTACCCGCTGCAAAGACAACGGAGGATTCTATTGGAATGCAAAATAATTTTTAAGCTGGAGTGGCGGATTTATATTTTACAGTGTTGAATATTGAGTCTGCTTGAAACGCTTTGCCTTGGACTAGATTAGGCTTAATGCACTCCTCCCCCATGCTATGAATCTCTTTGTGATGAGACCGGATTGGAGGGAGTGTCAGTGTCACCCCCCGCACTCGTGCTTGAGGACGCCCCTCTTGGCGTGCTCCCCCGACGAGACGTCCATGTCACGCGGGGCGGACAGCCTCACGTGCTCCGATGTCACTGCTTGTCTTCCCCACGGAGCGCGGCGGGAGCCCCGCACCCCCGCACCGGCCCCGGCCCCGGCCCCGGCCCCGGCCGCAGTGACAGTCGGAACGAGGCGCTAACGGCGATCAATTCTGCGCGGCCACTCCGAGCAAAGGGTGAACGCAAATACACGGCTCCAAGGAAAACGACAGGGAAAACACTTGTCATGTATGTTTATGGAGTTTTAACAGCATAGCCGGGGGCGCAAGTTCTGTGTGTGCGCCAGTATAGGAGGGGGTGGGGTGGGGAAATGGGTAGTGGGGATGCATGCGGGGGTTGAGGGTTGGAGGGGGTTGCGGTCTCATCATAGTAATCTCCCAGGTGAGTTTGCGCGGCCGGCCCAACAGCTCCCCTGACTAGTTGACCTAAATGGCCACAGTGCCCCTTTTCGCTACCCCAGCTCGGGCAACTTTGCGGAGGGTACTTACCAGGCGAGGTGGCGCGGTGGTTCACATGCATGTGCCGGTGTAACCTGTGACGTGTGTTGGGCACAGGCGAGGAGGAGCGACACCCAGCCAGCGAGCTGAATCGCCATGAGCCGACGGTGCGGGGCTGGCAGTCGTCGCGCCACTGCAAGTACCCGCAGGAGCTGGTGCTGCGCTTGCAGCGGCCGTCCGCCATCCGCCGAGTGCAGGTCCTCGCCCACCAGTGCCTGATCCGTGAGTACAGCGTCTTGGCTTGCCTCTGTGCGGCCTAGCTAGCCTGGCCGCTGGGGAACGTGCTGACCTCTGACCCTGTCCATGGGCCACAGCGGAGCGCATCGAGCTATGGGTCGGCACCGAGGACAGCTGGCGCGGCGGTGGCGCGCAGAACGGCCACGGGCACGCCGGCGGTGCGGAGGCACCCGAGGACGGCGACGGCGACCGGGACAAGGATGAGGTCGACGCAGACGCGACGCCCTTCCAGTACCTGGGTTTCATCACCCTCTCTGACAACCAGGGCACGGGGTTCAAGTCTCGCGAGCTCAAGTCGGTGAGCGTGCCGCCCTGCGCGGGCAGCTACCTCAAGATCCGCCTGCACCGCAACCACTCCAACCAGTACAACCGGTACAACCAGGTGAGTCTCTGCGACCCTTATTGCCCCCTTTTCCCCCCACGACGCACGGAGTCGTGAAGTAAACGCTCTCTTCCTCTAGGTGGGCCTCATCGCGGTCAACATCCTCGGGGACGAGACGGACGCCGTGACGGCCAGCAACGGCAAGCTGAGCAGCCCCGCGTCCGACGGGCCCGGCCAGGGGCAGAATCAGGGGGGCGAGAACACGCCGTACGATGACCTCGCCTTCCAGATGTACGTGGACCAGGACGCGGGCAAGATCATCCGCGAGATGGAGGCAAGGAAGGCGGTCGCAGTGCAGGGTAAGAGAAAGAGGGGGAAGTAATGGGAGGGGATGGGGCGGAGGGTGTGGCACTCGGGCACCAGGAGTGCTGTGCTGACCACACCCCGTCCCACCCCTCTCGAGCGGATGACCTCAGACTGGCCTCTGCAGAGCCAATGGCGCACACGCAGGTAGCTTTACTGACGCTCATGCAACTCTGTTGGCAGACGAGCGCTTCGAGTACGCGCGGAAGCTCAAGGCGGCCCAGGCGCAGCTACACGCGGCCGGCGAACGCCTGGCCAGGATGACCCTGGACAAGAGGGCAGCCATCGCGGCGGAGGACTTCGGCAGGGCGAGGACGCTCAAGACCACCATAGATGAGCTCCGGGATAGACTGTACAAGGAGCTGGCCGTCGACGACCTGTTGGAAAAGAATGGGGTGAGCAACATGAGTATCCACAATCACGATCTGAGTATGAGTATATAACCAAAATAACATTCCAAAACTGAACGACTTCATTGTATAGCTTGTCGCGAGGAATGACGAGACTCCAGACGAGGAAACTGTGGACGGATCACGAGACAATGTAGCAGTGATTTCCAAAGCGATCGCGGAGGTGGAGCCCGAGCAGGTCGTGGAGAGACGCTTGCCGCTGCCACCGTCCTCACCCCTGCACTGCCGTAGAACCGCCTCACCCAGCCCCACCACCACCAGGCCCACCACCCCGGCTAGGTCCAGGTAAGGCGGCGCGCGCACTTTGACTCACTTCTCTTCACCGTAACCTTCCTTGACGAAAGCACGCCTGCGCCCACAGCAGCGGCCTCCCGAGGCCAGTCGTCAACCCTCCTGCCAAAGAAGCGCCCCCAGCTCTGCGGGGCGGCGGCCCAGTGGCCTCGGCTCAGCGCCGCCGCCTCAAGTCTGCCCCCGCCACCCCCGTCAGCGCGCTCGGCAACGCGGCGCACTCGGGCGGGTCCGGGGCGTCCACGGGCGCGGCGGGCTCCTGCACCCCCACCGCCAGGAGCAGCTACGAGGCCTACGAGGAGCGCGCGCTGCCTGCACTCCGACAGTAAGAGGCTGGCCCTGCTCCCCGCCCCACGAGCACCACCCGGGCACACCATCGTGACCTCGAAACTCTCCTGTTGCAGTGGGCCCAACCCCGACCAGGAGCACTCTGATCGCCCGCGCTCCAAGCTCAACGAGCGCGAGCGGAAGCAGGCTGCCCTCCCCATCTCCGTGTTTGGCGTCGAAATGGTGAGTCTCGTGGAGCTGACTCGAGCTGACTGAACTCCCCGCGCTGCGCGCTGGGTCTGGGAGGGCGCCTGCCGGGTAGGCAACTCGGCGGTGGTGCGCGCGCGGGTGTTCGCACGTTGCCTACCTCCCGGGCGCCTAGCGGGAGCCGCGGCGGGCCACGGGAGCCCACGCCCCGCGCCCTCACGTGCGTCCTGGCTTTGATGTCGCAGGTGGAGAAATTCTATTCGAAACACTTCGCGGACAAGGAAGAGGGCCTCCGCCGTCTCCGCTCCGAGCTGTGCGACGAGGGCCGCGCGACCCCGCAGCCGAACAAGAAGGCCAGGGCCGCCATCTTCCTGCTGCACCGTGCCCTCAGGGACAAGGTGTTCTCGGTGTACAGCCTAGCCGCCGAGGTCATCCGGTTGTTTTTCACGCACTTTGTGCCCGACAGGTGGGCTATCTACTTCGTTGATGTGCACGTCACATTTAATATGTGCCTCCCATTCTCACGGTCGGGTTCCATTCCTCGCAGGGTTTCGCCGGCAGAAGTGGGCCGATCTGTGGACCGCTTGCTGCCGGAGCTGCTACTCAAGTCAGGAGACTCGACGCCTCGGATCCACAACATGGCGGTGCACACCATCCTCAGCATGGCGGACGTGGAGCAAGTCAGGTGCGTTAGGTCCCACTGGAAGCCGCCGCGGCTGTCGCGCTGAACTCCGGCGCTGACCAAGCCCCGTGCTCCTTGTGTCCAGGTCGCTGAACGTGATCCCCGCCACGCTGACGAGGCCCCTGCAGGCCGCCACGCACCCGCGCCTCGCTCTCAGCCGGCTCGAGATGGTGGAGCAGCTGATCCTGAGCCACGGTATCTCGCAGCCCGGCACCGGAGGGGCGCGCGGCAGCAGCGCCGGGGCCGCCGGCCGCGACAGGGCGGGTCCGGGGGGCGCCCGGGAGGGCAGCGGCATGACGTGCCGCACGCTGGCCGAGCTGGGCGCCCAGGGCCTGCAGCACCCGGCCGAGGCCGTGCGCAAGGTGGCCGAGAGGATCCTGGTGCTCGTGTACCGCACAAACCCGCGTCTCGTCCGCAAGCAGTTGCCCCCCGACGACGACATCACGAGGCGGAACTTGCTCTACCGCCAGCTCTTCACCGACTTCGACGCCATCGACGTGCAGGTAAGTGCCGGCCAGTACGCGTGCGTCCTGCTCCTATCCCTGCTCCCCGTCACTGAGCCTGGCCGTCCTGCTCCTCGCGTGTTGCAGCGGAAACGCGAGATGCAGGAGCGGCAGCGGGAGGAGAGCAGCGGGTCCGGCTCGCCCGCGCCGCGGCCACCCGCGGGCTGGGTGCCGCCCTCCTCCATGAGCGCCTCCTGGCACCAGGGCCAGGGCGGCGGTCTCGCCGGCCTCCCCACCGCCACACTCTCCCCCGCGCCGTCGCCGCGGCCTGGGCTACGCCGCCATGCCGCAGCCATGAGCTCCTCCATGAGCGCGTCCATGTGTGCGTCCTGGACCAACGGCTCCACCGCCAAGAGCGGCTCTTCGTCGTCCTCCTCGGGGGCGTCCTCGCTTGCCTCGCCCACCGAGGCCACCGCCCAGCCCCCCATGGCGCGGCGCTGCGCGGATGGTGACGGCGACGTCAAGGCCTGCGACTTCTGCGGCGCAGTGTCCGAGAGCTTCGCGTCGGGCGAGGGCCTCAACTCGCACTACTGGAGGGCGTGTCCGCTGCTCACTCGCTGCAACGAGTGCCAACAGGTGGTGGAGATCGCGTGCCTCGCCACGCATCTCACAGGTAAGGTCCCGGCCCCGGCCCGCCGCAGGTCCGCTCCGCTCCGCTCCGGCTCGCTGCCATGTCTCTGATTCTGTTGCAGAGGAGTGCGAGCTGCGCGCGCTGTACCGGCGGTGCGGCGGCTGCACCGAGGCGGTCCCCCTCCAGCGGATGCAGCTGCACGTCTCGTCGTGTGTCCGTAAGTACCGCGTGACGGTGACTGCTGCTGATGGTCCTCCTAGCTTGCCCGTTTCATCACTCGCTCTCCGCCCCGCAGCCCTGGGCGCGCAGTGCCGCCGCTGCCCGCTGTGCCACTCGGACGTCCGGGATACGGACGCCGCGTGGCGGTCGCACCTGATGGGCCCCACCGCCAAGCTGTGCGCCGCCCACCCCCGCCTCAAGTACGCCCGGGCTGTCCGCGCGCCCGCGCCCGCATCGGCCCCCGCGGCCCCATAGCCCCGGCCCGCGCCGCCCCCTGCACCCTCCCCGGACTACGTGTTCGTCACCAGGAAAGTGCGGTTCGCCGACGGCAACGTGACCGGCAGGCACCAGAACACCAAATGCATGGCGACAAGGCAGTAGGCAGGCGTGGCGCGCGCAGCGGAGTGCTGACCTCTGACCTCGACGGCAAGATGTGAAGGACTTTCGACTGCTCCGCTTCAAGCGATGGACTGAAGCCACTCCAATCATTGCAGCTATCCTTACTTCAAGCTTTCAGACTCTAATTCAATGTGATAAGTTTATGTCAATGGATCTGGTATGTGCAGTCTGATTGAAAGACTCTTGACCTTGCAAAGTCATTGACATGAGCTGGCTCCATGCTGAACCCATACGGACAGAAGCTTCCAGTTTGCTATCATCTCAAAATAATATGATTAGGAAATTAAATTATCCTGGCATCATTAATTTATGATCAAGGATTAACAAAGGGCTTAAACACAAAAGATCTTATGAATCAACTTTATTGAATGACTACCATTCAGTGGCCTCTTCCAGATGATTGTTGGACAAACAATAATTATAATAAAAATAGGTAAAACCATGGTGCTACTCGCATGCAAAGATATTCTAGGCAAAATCAGGAATAGCTGAACATACAATCCTGGAGATTGTACGACATTATTCTGTAGAACATCAAACTGTCTGAAACACACCAAAGGCATTCTTATAAGATTGACCACTATTATTGAAAAGCTCTTAGCTTAACTACTTGTCCTGCATCCATCAATCCCTCCATATATGACTTTTAAAAAAACTAATTATGGAATTTTTAACAAATGTTTAGATATAAACGTTAAATTGATTTTTACATTACTTATTTCTTTTTTTTATGGAAGATTAAATGGCTGTCATCTTTGAAAAGGCGTCTATTATAAATAAAAACAAAATGCAATGTCTCAAGGGTTCCCATTTTCATGATCATTTGTAACAGTAGCCTTATCCTCCACTGTGTCATTTTCATTTTCTTCTTTCTGATCGGTCTCCTGTTTACTTTCTTCATTTATTTTAGCAAGCTCACTCTCTTTATTCTCAGCTCTGTTTTTAAATTTATTCACCTCTGCAAAATTTGAAATGAAAAATTAGGGTACTATGCAGGAACATATCTTAACATAAATGAGATACTAGATTCATACGCACCATATTTTGAGACATCTTCTCCAAGTAATCTGAGAGTGTGGACACATTCATCAACACCTACATAAGCTCGAACAGAGCGTGTACCCTTCCAACCAACTAATGTTGTCACAAGTTGTCTACCAAAAGAAGTTTTGCCTTCAAATTCAACAACAAAACTGCCGTGATCCTCTGAAAAATTGGAAAAAAAGATAGTCACCACAATAGAGAGATTCCACATGGGAAATACCAAAGAAGAAATATGTATTCCAATTAAAACATACCAAGTCTGTTGAGAGCTTCTTGAGTAGGAGCACTATATTTTTCAATTTCAGGGGGACATGAAGGATCCTGGCAAGTCAAAAGAAGTACTAGATCATCTTTATCTACCCTTATTCTGCGCTTGGGTCCAATGAAAGATTCAATACACTTCAATCCTTCCTGAGCTAGACGGAAACAGCATTTCATTGCTTTGTTGTCACATCTAGCAAACGCTTTAACTCCAGTATTAATAATCTAGCACAAATGAAAAAATAATTAATGAACTTAGCATACAGATTGCCTTTAATACACAGAATGAACTTTGAGCATACTACCTTAATTCGCTGTTCATTATTTTTAATCAAATCACGTAGAGCAGGAGTTGTGAAATATATGTTCTTTTTCTTGCCCACGGCACAGCGGGTCAAGAAGGAGGTGCAAGACAGTTCAGATTTCAAGTCATATGCTTCCTGAAGAACAGGCCACAATTCTTCACTCTCAGAAAAGAATACAAAGGGATCTTCCTTATATCCTCGGCTTTTAGGATTTTTCTTGGGGTTACCTTTAGGTGGCTTGACCTCATCTGATACTTCTTTAGTCTCATCTGAATTTACATTCTGCTCTGTGCTTTCCGCTTCATCTGTCCTCCGCTTTTTCACAGGCGGACTGTTAGCAGAATTGACTTCTGTAGCTTCGTTGATTTCTCCCGAATCTGAGCTCTGCTCTGTTGTCTTGGGGCGGGCTTCCCATGGCAAAGTCTTCACCTTGTTTAAAACTGCTACAAAGAATCCTCCTGTGTTTTGCAAGTGAGGCAAAATACGAATACACCGATCTAGGTTGTATTTGCTAGCATCCTCCTTAGCAGGTGGAAACATTGATGGCCGCACTTGGGTTCTCCACTGCTCTGGAACATCTTCATATTTTTCATACCCAATGAGGTCTTTGGAGCATGGTGTCCATGTTGTCATCCCTTGCTTAAACTGTAAGCCAGGTAGGGAGGCACTAGCGTCTTCAAGCTCTACACTACCTGAAAATGTAATACACCAAAATTAACATAGAACTAGGGCAAAGTTAATTGAGGATATAATAAAAATTACCTTCACATTCCTTGAGTATTCGATGAAGTACTGCTTCATTTTCAATGGGATTCAGTGAACATGTGGAATAAACCATCCGTCCACCCACTGCCAAAAGTTCAAGGCCTCTTCGAGCAACCCGGTATTGGATTCCATGGAGATTATTACCATTGGCTGCATTCCACTTTTCCCATATGTCAGGATTCTTGCGAAGAGTGCCATCACCAGTACATGGCACGTCACACAAAATACGATCAAACTTTAAAGGTGTTGGGTTTCCATCTGGAGTTTAGATAAAGGTCTTGTTAAACAAGTGCATTAGAATAATATAAGAGGAAGATCACTATACAAGTTAATAACAAACCTTGACCAGGAATTTGCATATTTGGTAACTGAGATGCATCATGGTTAACAATGACAACGCATGGACTACTGAGCCGTTTTAATTGATGAACCAGCATGTAACACCGCATATTGTCCATATCATTAGCAATAACAAAGCCCTCAGGAGGAGGGTCTCCAGGCTGCTGGTCTGCATGCAGCATCTCAATGAGTTGGGCAGTCTTAGATCCAGGTGCAGCACACATGTCAAGAACCTGTACATACCTTTATAAATTAAAAATGCCAGAGTAAATAGCCATAAACAAATTCATATCTACTTTAATTACCTTGTGATGGGGTTTCACATCTAAAACAAGAGGTGGTATCATGCTCACAGCTTCCTGGCGGCTAATGTTGCCAGTGCTTGTTTCAGCTATTAAGAAGTTATGAAGCCGGTAGTATTCTTCTGATCTACGAATATCTTTCCTGGATATATCTAGCTGCCAGGCAAGACGGTCAGGGTACCATGGGAGCTGTTTGGGTGGTTTGATATCTGTACCAGTATCAACACCAGTTGGAAGCAATTCTTTGAAGAACTGCCCTTCAATGACATCAAGCATTGCAGATGCTTCCATTTTGGAACCAGTTATTCGAAATGATGTAGGTAAAGTTTCTTTGAGGGTTGCCATCATCTGCTCCCACTCATTTTCAGGACATACATTTTGTTTCTGCAAAGTCAATCAACAGCAAATATAGATTTACAGTTGTATCGTTCAAGGTAATAAAGTAATTTGGAAAGCCTTAAACACACCTTGTAGTAAGTAGAAAATCCTTCACTCTCACGTACAGTGTCAACATAATTCATTCTTGCTTTTGCCGGATCCCAGACATCCTTTTGCTACAACGAAAACCATATAAAAATATAATGCTGATGAATGAAGATTATAGATTTGAACACAGCCATGCTAGCACATTGTACGGGTTCGCACATATCTAAAACCATTTCAAAACCTTTTCCAGAAACTAGATCAATTTTGACAGAGCAAAATTTTTAAATTTTATACTGACTTGTTCCACACATGTAGCTTAGAATATTGGTTAGGTTTCCCATGGCCATGGACAAAATTAAACTAAAAACAATTAACAAACCTTGTGTTTCTGGTTGCGTTTCTTCTGAGCGAACGAATTAGAATTGCGGATTCCATGGCGCCGTCCCATATCGGGAGATGAGTTAATACAATGGAAACACTAGAAAGGACAAAAAGCCGATGAACTGTGAAACTGCACACATGGGCAAGACGGCACAACAGGCCTTTTCGCACTCGCAGACAGCAGCCAGCGGCCAGCTGAGAAGATTAATCACTCGGACCAAGAACTCTTACCGAAAGTTCACGCTTCTTTTTAGTGACAGGCGACCAACCCTTGAGCAACAGATATCTCGCACTTGTATTCGCGAAATAAGAAAATCGTTAATAAAATGTAAAAAATACTTCCAAATAAATTGTAACGCTCCTTCTTATTATAGTAAGAATAGAGAAGCAGAGTAGTATCAGGGCTTCGTTTCTCTTTGAAGATTGTCATCCAAAAGAAAACAAGGGGAATGTTCTTGTAGTGCAAACTTGGCAACGCCCCCTTCTTGTACCACTAAGGTATAGAGTCATTTTACTAAGTGTTGTGTTTGTTTAGGAGGGAAGGGGAAGGGGTTGTTGTTCGAAGTGTCCCCCTCAGCTGATGCTGATGTGCCGCTTTAATTTTTTGAGATACTTTTCTAATGGTAAAAATACTCTACCAATTATACTAGTATTTTTTGGAAAGTTAGACTGGTGTCTTACATTAATTCTGAACTCAACCTTAATATCCTTTAGGAACAAGTTATTGTATTAGTACAGAGATGATTCATCCCTAGGTTAAGTTGTCATTTTGACAGCATAATCTCAGTATTTACACTAGAACCAGGGGGCTATTGAGTATTTTTGAGTCATTTTAGGTGTCACATTTTGTATTTTCTATCGTCATTAGGAACTTCGTCATTGTAGAAATTCTCTCATGTATCTATTGTCAGTAGGTTGCTGTGTCAGTTTTGTCGTGTCAGGCCTTGAACTTTAATTTTCTACATTGCTCTTTTCCGCAGTTATTTCAGAGACTAACTCTCTTTACAAATTAAGTGTGAAATTATCTGTGTGTGATCAGGATGACGCTGATAGGGGGCTAGTTTTCTTCTCAAAGTCACAATGAACTCGTCAACAAGACCCAGCTCAGTGAGCTGGGTTTTCAAATGGAATTGGGATGAGATGTGTGGACCAGATGGCCTTGTTGTCTGGTCTACATCACACAAGGATCTTGGATTATGCTTTCAAGAGCTGTGCATGAAGGTAGAGTTGCTCCGACACAAATTTTTAAATGAAATAATGAGTCATGGATGAGTCAGTGATGCACAATCAGCATATTATATTTTGAGCTGTAAAATATTGCGATGCAATTCTACTTCTTACATTGTTTTCTTTGTTGTTGTTAAATTCAGGTTCCAACATTGACGTTACTAGCTGCTGTGTCAGCTTTTTACTGTGGAAGCCAGGACAGATGGGTTGTGAGAGACAAAAATATGATAAGAGTGATCTTTGTGCGCTCAGTAATAGCTATGGCTCTTGCTATTGAGCCCATTATTAGAGTCTGTAACAAGATAAATGATGCTCCCACAGCCCTACATCCTGTTGATTATCTCTTATATGCAGTTGAAAGTTTTGCTTGGTTGGTGCACTTTGGGTATATTCTTGCCTTAAGGTATGATCTTAGTCTGTCCGGTTCTTGTATTGTTATTGTTCTCAAGGATTCTATAAACCTCTCTGATTCTGTTTTTGTTTTAACTTGTAGACATCGCTTGGGAGTAAGCCCCAGAGGACCTATAGTTGCGTGTGTCTTGTGGACACTTATCTTTGTATTCAATATTGTGTCAGTTCGTTCTTTAGCAAGAATAATACGAGAAGGAAATGCATCTCAGTCAGTTTACATTGATTATTATGCAGATTTGATTAATTTGTGTACACATTTTCTTTACCTTTGTACACTTTTACCTGGGAGAGGAGGTACTCATGCTGCTTATAACAGAATGTACACGGAATATTATCAACGGGTTATTCAGGTACAGTGATTGTCACCTTTAATTCATTTTTTTGTATTCCGAACTTTTACACAAAACTTAATCTTGTAAATATTATTTTGGTAGAGTGATGAGAGACAAGGACTTTTAAGCTCCCGCCATGCCTACAGTGGGTTCAGAGAAGAACAAGAACCTGGCTACCTTGGGGTTGCCATGGAAGACTCAACATTCTCATCTCGCTTGTTTTTTCACTGGGTACGACCACTGATGGTAAAAGGTGTAGAGGGGCAACTACATGATGTAGATGATCTCTTTGATTTGCCGGAAGACCTTACACCGTCGTACATACATGCTCAACTTGAGCAGGCAATTGGGCGTTCAAGTGCCCTTAATTCAGAAAAGACTAGCTTGAGCTCAGGTACTGATTAATAAATTGGTTGTATCTTTTCCATGTTCGGTTATTACTATTATTACATTTTTCTGATCTGTTGTTTGCAGGACAGTATGGCTATGGCAGTGTGCAGGGTCCTTCCTCCTCCCTTCAAGCATCACTCGCAGCTCCACAACAAGTTGAAGATGTGCATGTTGTCTCTTCTCCAGTGTCTTTATTAAGGGCTTTACATTCTTGCTTTGCTTGGGAATTTTACAGTGTTGGGGTCATAAAATTCCTTGGAGATGCTGTAGGTTTTGCCTCCCCTCTCTTGTTGAACTTACTTGTTAAATTCATAGAATCTAAATCAGAGAGAAAAGAAGATGGATACTTCTTTGCTCTAGGCCTTTGTCTTACAGCCCTTATTTGTAAGTTTAAAGTCTTCCATATTTTTATCATAAGAATTCCAAAACTTTTTGCCTTATTATGTTTTTGTTTTTTTCAGCTGCTCTCTGCAATGCACATTTTAATTTCTTGATGGCAAAAGTTGGAATGAAGATTCGTTCAGCTATCATCACCCTTGTCTACAACAAAATTCTCACTCTGAGCACAAAATCTTTTTCTCTCTTCAGGTTTGTATAAAATAATACCTTTAATGCTATGTAATTTTGGATTTGAAGGTTCTCTCTTACTGAATGGAACCCTCCAATTTTCAGCTCTGGAGAAGTTGTTAACTTTATGAGTACTGACACTGACAGAATAGTGAATTCATGTCCCAGCTTTCACGCCTTATGGAGTATTCCCCTTCAGGTAATAAATTACTTGTCATGATGTCATAATTTTGTTGAATGTTGAAGTGTATAATATGAATGTTTCCCTTTCAGCTCGCTGTAACATTTTACCTTCTCTATACTCAAGTGGGCTTAGCTTTCTTAGCTGGAGTATGTTTTGCTGTTGTTTTAATTCCAATAAATAAATTAATTGCCATGAAAATTGGTAAGCAAAAGGGTTACTTTTGGTCTATTTGTCTGTTTTGAATCAAATTGTTGTGCTAATTATCCGTCTATTATAGGTTCACTAAGCTCAAAGATGATGGAAAAGAAAGATGAACGAGTTGAAATGTGTTCTGAGGTTTTGCAAGGAATGCGAACTATAAAAATGCATGTTTGGGAAGAACACTTTCTGACCAAAATTTTACGTGAGTGAACATTGTTTAATGTCTTAGTAATATACAGAGAAAATGGATTGTAACATATGTGTTGTTTTCAGGCATAAGAGAAAGTGAACTGTATTTTTTGAAAGGGAGAAAATACCTTGATGCCATGTGTGTGTTTTTTTGGGCAACCACTCCTGTCATGATAGCACTTCTTACCTTCGTTTGCTATTCACTCCTTGGAGGTCAGCTTACTGCTTCACGAGTGAGTGACCACATTTCTAACTATGCTGAATCTATTTCACCAGTGAATATGTATGTTGAGTTTCTCATTCTTTACACTCTGTTTGAAACATTATATAGGTCTTTACAACTATTGCACTTTTGAACATGCTGATTGCACCTTTGAATGCATTCCCCTGGGTTTTGAACGGATTAGTTGAAGCTTGGGTTTCTGTTGCTCGAGTTCAGAAGCTCATAACAGTGAGTGAACTTTTTGATTTTTTAAATCTAATCAATCATTTCCTTTACAAACATCATGTCCTTGACTATCCATGACTCACAAATTTTGTCAATAACTCCACTGCTCTAACATTTGATAATTTCTCCAATGTAGCTTCCAGATCTAGATCTTCATGAATTTTACCATCCCCTTCCCATTGATAATGATAATATTGCCATTGTGGTTCGAAACGGGAAATTTGAGTGGGGAAATGAAAAATCACAAGATAGGTTCCAATTAAATGATGTGAACTTCACCATCCTTAAGGTACTATTTTTGTTTGTTTCTTTGCTTTGGAAATACATATTTTTCAGTAAACATCAAAGATAATTCGTTTTTCCTTTACAGGGTCAGTTAATTGGTGTGATTGGGGAAGTGGGCAGTGGGAAATCTACACTTTTGGCATCCATACTTGCTGAGCCAGAGAAACAGTCTGGTGTGGTGGCTGTGGATAATTCTGATCAAGGTTTGTTGCACTGCTGGACTTAAGAAAAGTTAAAGAAGTATTTCCTGATTCATTTGAACTTTATTTTGCATTAGGCTTTGCTTATGTGGCCCAACACCCTTGGCTCCAGCGGGGCACTATCCGAGATAATATCTTATTTGGCAAACCATTTGATCAACTGCGTTACAGGTCAGTTTTTAACTCACACAAATTTAATAGTCAACCAGCAATTTGTATCTCATGATATAGGTTGGATTTTGTTAAAAAATGACGAGGATTTACACCATTTTTTTCTTTTATCAGATCTGTTTTGGATGCTTGTTGTCTTGAGGATGATCTGCGTACCCTTCCTAAAGGAGATCTTTGTGGTATCGCTGAAGGTGCTACAAATTTAAGTGGTGGTCAGAAAGCTAGAATAGCATTAGCAAGAGCTGTTTATCAGGTATTTTGTTTTTGAAGAGTCAATGAAGTTTTTACGGAAATCATTTACAAGGACAAGTTCTCAATGTTTTTCATTCATGGTGTGTTTTTGACATATTTCACTTTTTTACTTCATTACAGGACAAAGCAATTTATATTTTTGATGACATCTTATCATCTGTTGATCCTCCAGTGGCAAATTTGATTTTTGATAAGTGTATTCGTAAGCTATTAAATGGACGTACTCGTATTTTGTGCACACATTACGCTCAGTGCTTACGCTACGCAGATGTTGTTATGAAAATATCAGCTGGACGAATTGTACATATGGGTATGTGCACTTTGTTATCACTATCGTAAATTTTGACGTTGATTAATGTACATGACAGTTCATAATATAATTTCTCATTTTTTTATAGGATCGCCTTCAGATGTTCTTGCTGAAGAAATGGAAAATCTTGCTCTTCTCGATTCTGATAGTATTCCATCAGGAAGTAAAGAGGGCACCAGAATTACTAGGGATGAAGGTAATTTCATTTTTCTTTTATCTTCTATGAATTGTTGACAGTTTTAATTCAGTCTCTTATGTCACCAGATATAATCTCAGAACAAGAGGATGACATTCTTTTGAATGAACATCGAGAAATTGGAACAGTGCAATTGAAAGTATATGGAGCTTACTGGAGAGCGTTATCTCCTTTTTTATCCATTGCAATATTTATATCTCTTATTCTCATGCAATCAACTAGGAATCTTTCTGATTGGTGGATGTCTTATTGGGTATCTCATAATAGCAGTAATCCTCTAGGAAAGAACACAGGTTTGTGTATTTAATTAAAATTGGGTTCTGTTTGTTACTGGTACATCATTCTTTTCTGCCTCTGATGTTAGTTTTTTTTCTTCATTCTTACAGAATTCAAAGTTGATGTGGAAAGACTTGTGGCATCGAACATCTCAACACCTGAGCTGACAAATATCTCTTTCTATCTTACTGTTTATGGTACTATTGCTGGTCTGAACTCATTCTTTACGCTTCTTAGAGCCTTCTTGTTTGCCTATGCTGGTATTCATGCAGCCACAGAACTTCATAAACAGTTGATAAAGACACTCATGCGAGTAAGTAAATCTAATCTCTTTGGTGGTGACCCGTTTTAAAGGTGTTTTTAATTGCAATTTTGTTTCTGTTCTTTGCAGGCAAAGATATTTTTCTTTGATATATCCCCTTTGGGTCGAGTTCTGAACCGCTTGTCTTCTGATACATACACTGTTGATGACTCATTGCCTTTTATACTAAATATTTTACTGGCACAATTTTTTGGTTTGCTTGGTAGGTTTATTTTTCTTATCTATCAAATGGAAAGCAAAAACATTTCAAAGCGTATTTTGTTAATGTTTATAATGTTCTGTAATTATTTTAATTTTTTTAAATAGGAACTATGTTTGTTACAATTTATGGGCTGCCGTGGCTTTGTTTGGTTCTTATACCGTTAATACCAATTTACCACTGGCTTCAAGAACAGTACCGCCAAACATCTCGAGAACTAAAACGCATATCAAGTGTAACACTTTCTCCTGTGTATTCTCATTTTAGTGAGTCCATGCTTGGACTGGCCACCATACGTGCTTTCCGGGCTAGTTACAGGTATCTTAATTATGAGAAATTCTCAAGATTTGATGTTCTATTGGTCTGGCACATTTTAATTACAGAAATTGTTCTGATACAGATTTAAACGTCAAAATGAAAATTTTCTGGATTGTAATCAAAGATCAGTTTTATCATCTCAGGCTGCATCGCAGTGGCTTGGCCTCCGTCTTCAATTAATGGGAGTTGCCATAATCAGTGGGGTTGGCATGATTGCTGTTATACAACATCAGTTTAATGTAGCGGACCCTGGTAAGTTCTTATTATCTTCTGTTTTTGTGAGTACATTCTGACCGACTTGTTAATGTTTTTATACTAGTTTTGTGTGCTATAATGATTAATTCCTCTATTTGGCATCAAACTTAATGGAATTTGCTCTGAAAATACTCTCTCTTTCTTTCCAAAAAATTCAGGTATTGTTGGCTTGGCAATTGCATATGCACTTTCTGTAACGAGCATGTTAGGTGGTGTTGTCAATGCGTTTACCGAAACTGAGCGTGAAATGGTAGCTGTTGAACGAGTTCATCAATACATTACTGACATTCAATGTGAATCACAAAAGCCAGGATTGCAACCAGCTCCATATGCATGGCCACCACAAGGGGTGGTTCAGTTTCAAAATGTCATATTAAAATATAGGTATGTATCTTGTTTGGAATTTTTAATTGCTGATTTGTGCTAACTGAAAACATTTCAATGTGCCTTTCTCTTTTGACTTTATAGGGATCACCTTGCACCGTCATTGAAATGTATAACTTTTCAAACAAGACCCTCTGAGAAAGTTGGAGTTGTTGGTAGAACTGGTGCAGGAAAGAGTTCCCTTATCGCAGCATTATTTCGGCTTGTTGAAATCTCAAACGGATGTATTCTTATTGATTCCATAGACATTTCTAATATGAGTCTGCACAGTCTGAGGTTTGTAATGAATAGGCTCGATAGGCTGTGTAGACATTACTAACAACTAATGGATTATCTATCTATTATTTTCCACCTTTCAGACGGCGATTAGCTGTCATTCCACAAGACCCATTTCTGTTTGCTGGGTCTGTAAGAGACAACATTGATCCACTCAAAGAGTATAGTGACCATGAGGTGTATGATGTCCTGAACCGGTGTCATATTGTGGATGTTGTAAGGAGAATGGGAGGTCTCAATGCTCAGGTCGGACCTGGAGGCTCCTTTTTCTCTGCTGGACAGAAACAACTGCTTTGCCTTACTAGAGCTATACTACACAACGCAAAGGTATATTATCTAACTATCTATCTGTGATTATTAAACATTATTATCTTGTTGTGAGTTGCGCTTAATTCTAATTCCTATTTTAAAGATTCTTTGTATTGATGAAGCAACAGCTAATGTAGATCATGAAACTGATCGTCTCATCCAAAAAACAATAAGAGCGTCTTTTGGGAAGAGTACTGTAATTACTGTTGCTCATAGAATTGAAACAATCATGGATTCTGACAGGTAAATTCACAAAAATTGTGTTCTTAATTCTATTCTATCCTCTGAATATTGACCATTGACCAAATACTACTGTATCTCAATTCTTTTATTTCAGAGTTCTTGTTCTAGGAGGAGGAGAGGTTCTAGAATTTGATAGCCCTGATAAATTGATGGAGGATAAAACTTCACATTTTTACCGTCTTGCTTCACATGGGCAAGAAAGGAGTTAAGTTTTTCTGATACTCCTGCTTTCTGTGATTTAATATGTTCCAAAGGTTTTAATTAGGAGCTCATGAATTGGCTGAGCAAATTGATACACATTTACTGAGATACAGTTGAGGAATGTGAGAAGATCTGCTGCAATGTTGGCCCTTTCAATCGATATTGACATTGCACTTTGGCTGTGAATTTATCCTATTTGTTATGAACATGTTCTTTTAACTTAAAATTTTCTTTTACATTAGTTCTTTTTACATATTCTATATATATCTAGTGTATTGTCATGTATGAACATTGGTATTAGATTGATTTAACAATTCCTACCTTGGTGTGTTATATATTCATGTAACATTTTAATTCTGAGCTGAGAGGTTTCATTAATAATGAGAAGTGTTTAGTTCGCTCTCTGGATACAACTACTGTATGTCCTCTTTTTGTAGATTTTGTAGGTAATGTGTAAAGCTTGTCTTTAAGTAAAGTAGGAAACCAAACATCAAAATAAAACAATAGAGATAAAATATGCAATAATTTATTTTTTCAAGTCATCTCTCATTTTCTACTAAAACAGCATTCAACAATGTTTTCATTTCTTAAATAAGTCATAATGTAATACTTAGAAATGGGAACACCTTGCAACATAAATGACTTTGACATTAGATAATACTCCATTTAACATTGTCTCACAATGTTACACAAACTACAACATAGATAAAATCTTATTTGGCCACAGCAGCAAACATGCCCAAAATAAATTATGATCACAGATGAAAACTTCAAAATACAAACAAAAATAGAACAGGCATATAAGATAAATCCATAATTTCACAAAAATAATAGAGAAGTAATATGGGAATCATTAACACAATATTTTCAATTCAGAGACTAACTTTGTACATTTTAAGTTAAGTGTATAACAGTCTTCAAAGAGGGCTAAAAAAGCTGATCTACACAGAAAGCATTGGTTCCAACTCAGGATGTATGATCTGACCAAATACACTTTTGACTATAAATTGGATAACTTGAAGCCCCTGGTCTCAGGAAGATAACAATGCTTCTGGTATTGACACATTCAGTGCAGCATGACCACGGCGTAGTCACAGCATTAAAATAAACCCCCAACGGTGGATTTGGTCATGTAAATACAAAGCCAACATCTTCTCTGTCAGCTACTGAAAAATGTATCTTATGTATGAGGCATCAACTTTGGGTGCACAAGACTAAATCCACCCTAACATTTCAATTATCTAAGATAGTTGATATATCTATCAGTTCTATGACTAGGGTAGTGCGGATGCAATATCTGAACTTAGAGGGGTATATTTAAATAAGATGTGATAGTTGTACAAAATTAAAGAAAAGCAGAAAAATGAATGGTCAGAATTTACAGTGCATTCCAAATAAAAGTCATGCTCATCATCATAGGCTTTCAGGAGGCATAGTCAGGGAACATAAGCGGGGAACAAAGAGCAAGGTGAGTGCAAGTGTACCAGGACTTTTTGATCTTCAAAAGATTAAGAGACACAAGATAAGAAGACCTATTAACAAGAGAATAGGCACAGCAGTTCTATTTAAAGCTAAAGTTTAAATATTATAAGGAGGAAGAGCATTAGTATGATGGCTGCAGCAAGGACTAGAATACACACCATCTTTCTATTCTTCCTTTGATAAGAGTCAGCTTTTTGTAATTGTTGATATCCTTGACCAACTTGTATTTGAGTCTGTTCAACATTGTAATCTATTCGGTCCAGTATAGTCCCCTGTAGTAAGAATAAACATTGTTATAGTATAGTCATAATGCTAGAGGAAAAAAAAAAGCTGCCTAGAGTTCTGTTTGTTTGTACCTGATCTGCCACCATATGAGCTAAATCTTTGAAAATTGCATTCAGTTCACTTATTGACTGGACAATGTGAGAAACTTCCTTCTCTCTTTCAGCAATGATTTTTGTGTTTTCTTCTTCCATAAGAAGCAACTGAGTTTGTGTCATTTTCCCTGTCATTGAAAGAAATTGAAAAATTAGTAAATTTTGAACCAAAAAAAAATTAATGCAGACCACATTTAGAAATATACCTGAGGCTACATTTGAAAACTGTTGGTCTATATTGTCAAGACTACTATCCACTTCCCATCTCTCATCTAGACCAAGGAAAGCAGCATTACTTTGTGCAGAAGCTGAGCTAGGCACATCCCATGGATTTTCAAAATATTGTCTCGATCTCTCTTCTCTAGAGTTTAGCTCTGCAGAAGTGAAACATTGAATTACTCAACTAAATTGAAGCTCAGTGAAAAGACAGGTAAAACCAATGTAAGAACTTACTTCTCAAATAATCCCCTTGTGAGGTCTTGAAATTATTGGAGAGATCCTGAAGGGAGTTGGCAAGGGCTGACACAACACTTTTTGCCAATTGTCTTTCTTTGCCAGAGCCATTCATACCATCATGACGAATTTGTTGAATAAGTTTGTGACAGCTGTTGAACATCTGGAAAAACGTAATAAGTTTTATTTTAAAAATTCAATTCAGACATAGAAAAATGATGAATGAAACAAACAAGATTAAAATTTTACCCTCATAATTTCCTGAGATAAGGCTTCAATCTGAATTTCTTCATTCCTGGTGTCATCAAGTGTGGGACGCTGCAAGTGGCGAGTATGCAGAGCAGTTAGTTGCTTCAACTTCCCACGTATTCTAGAAAGAGCATATTGGGCCTCTTCTAATCCGTCAGACCATGTTGGGGGTAAGCGAGAATCCGCAAGCTCAATGTCAACATCAACAGAACGAGGCACCAAGGCCATACGATCTGAGACAGCCTGTACAGGATAAACAATATTCAATATTATTTACAAATCCTGAACCAACCCAAATGAATGACACAACACTAAAATTTATAACAATTTCTTTTTGTTTAGATTTATCATAGTGAAAACAACAGAAAAAAAATCTGCAACAGTTTCCAGCTTGGAAACATTATTGTCTCATCAAGTAATTCCAAGTTTCTATGGTTAAATTAGGAATATTGGTTAAACGTATGGTACTCACCTGTTCAGTATATATGTGCCGACTTTGCATGGCATTGTTTCGCATTAAAACAAAAACCTCAGTCAAACTTCTAGTTGCCATATTAATAAAAGTCAGATGTCAGTCACAAAGAAATATTCTATATCTCTCCAAACAGTTTTTCGATGGTGTTTTCAAACAACTAGTACCAAATAAATGGCATCTGTCAAAGTAAACAGGGCGCCATATTGACTTCCAAGTGTTGCAGGAGATATTTTCGATAAGGCTGTGACTTTACGCGCGTTTCTATTTAAATTCGACCGCACAACCAACCACAACCCTGCGCCTTGAGAAAGGTTGACTTGTTCTCAAGCCTACTTCTCTTTTCTATTTGTAACTACGCACTACCCAATGACGGCTGCAGCGGCCACTGGTATTTTACTTCTATGCCTCGAAAAGTGGAGAAAACAAAAACTTGGTAGCGCCCCGTTTTAAATGTAGGTGTAAGTGGTCGGTCGGTGGTTCGTATACAGCTCGCAACCGACGAAGTGCAGGTTCAAATCAAAAGAGGGAGAGGTGACAATCCTCCGATTAGGCTATTTTTTTAACGGGTTTATACCACTCACATTGTACACATCTAATATCCAAAATTTCATACCACTAACTAGAAGTTTTACGCGGGAGCGACCCATCTGAGCTAGTCCGAATGGACCCCCCCCCGGTGTCGGTGGCGCTTAAGCATGAAACCCATACCCGTTTCCAGTTGGTGGGTCCGACCGGGATGAAATTTGGATTTGAAGCGTAGGACTAAGGTAGAAAAAAAGTGAAAAAAAAATAATCAGCGCTATAGGAGGTAAGGTCGAAGTCACCTTTTTCGTTCAGAGGGGAGGGGGGGGGCATTTGCGGCGGCGCGCGGACTTTGTTTCTTGTCTACAGTAGGTTCGGATGCCTTGTGACCGCGCCGTGTCAGTTGTAGCCACAACTAAGGGGGGGCGGGAATTGCCCCCCATCGTCTCTAGTAAGCCGTTTGCGGCCGCCTGAAAGATAGGCAATTTTTGACACAAATCCTGTAAGTAGGCAACCCACGGTGCACCCCCCCCCCCCTTGTCAGTCAGACTTTATACCGCGCTCACTGTGTAGCTACAAACATGCACGTTAGATCCCTGGCCGTTCCTCTGTGGGGTGAGGAGGAGGGATCGGCAGCATTGGTGGCACCGAGCGGATTTGGTCTTTATCTAGCTCCTCAAGAAATCTTTGTTGAACTCATTAAAGTGTGCAGAGGTGTTCAAACGTGCATCTGTAATCAGCGCTTGGTAGTGAAAGACTCAGCCGACAATATTATGACTGGTGTGCAGTTTACGAGCAATAGTTGTGGAGTGGAGCCGCCCGACGGTGTAATTCATTGCCTTCAAATGGTGGTCTGGAAAGAGAAACGCACTTGCCGTCGCCTCCACGATTGATACGCATTACTGCGTTGAAGATCGTGTTTAACTTATCGAAAATCCTGATCGAACGAGCGCGATTTTGTGCGAAACGCGGATTCACGGCAAGCTGAAATCCGGTCGTAGGCTGACCAAGTGTGCCAACCTTGACGTCATCATGTTCTGGCACCTGCTAAGCTAAGGGTGACGCACGCCGGGCCTCGCCCTTTCGTACGGACCCCGTCCTACTACTCGGCCATCCCAACCCGCCCCGGGGTGCACAGTACACCTATGATGGACGGGACGAGCAAGAGCGCCTGCTGCGCGCTGGGCAGGCAAACCCGCCGAGCAGCCGTGTGAAGTTGGTGGCCCACAGAGTCTGACGCACGTCCCTGTTTGTGGCCACATCAATGTGGCCACAAATCCGGCTGCCAGAATCAGCTTAATCCGATCCGACTAGAGAAGATCCTTTTTTCGGGCAATATGATATCCGAAGTGAAGTCCGCCGGCTTTAAAGATAACTTCTGACAAGCCGGAAGCACCAGACGCGTAACTAAAAAAAAATACAATGTAGCGCGGAAGCCCATAACCCAGAGAGACAACTAGCTCACTGATTGCCTACGTTGCCGACTAGTCGAGCTTCTGATACAGTACGAGAAAATTCAAACCCAAAAACGAATACTTTGACGACGAGTATTAGAACCCCCGATTCACAGTTCACACATTGCAGCGATATCAAAGAGCCAGGAGGCCGGTGAGGTGAGAGGGTGTCGTGATGGAACCGGTTCTTCTCCCGCTCAATCTACTGCGGTGACTCGTGCCTTTAGCCTAGCTCGCCCGGTCACTCACACTGTGGCGTCGTAGCCACACCGGTAGAGAGTCGACCCCGTGCGCCACGAGCCAGGGGTTCGAATCTCCGATCCCAGTTACATTTTTCTGAACCGGTCGAACTCTTGGAGTTGAAATTAAACCCGTCATTTCAACGGGGCACCTTTGTGGATGAACGAACGGTCTGGTGGTTAACGCTGTCCCACTGGGCTGGGGGTGACGATGACTCGGCACTGGGGTCCCATTAGGGGCAAAGGTTCGACCCTCGGCGAAAGCGTGCCGAGTAAGGGCCATCCCAGCCACAGCGGGAGTGGTAACCCGTGTGGAATTGATAAGTCCTTAGAATCTGGCTCTTCGAAGGGATTCCACGACTCGGAAGCTTTCCGCTCGGATCGCGTCTGGGTGCAGTACAGGCTAACCACCGTACGCCCGTCTCCTCTCTTTCTAACTCCCTCCGCCCTACCCCCCATTCCCGGTCAAGCGGACTGGTGGGAACCTAGTCGATGGCTGTAAACTCCGGTGTGAGCGAGATAGTCAAGAAACCCGGCCCTCAGCTGGGTGCCTGAAAACACCGGATCCCATACCGAACTCCGAAGTTAAACAGGCGGGTCCCCGTGTCAAAGCGGGGTGGGTAGGGCCCACATTTTTATCAGTTTTGACAATTTTGCAGGTAAAATGAATCCGGCTCTAAGAGGTATTTTAACTGCCCGTTGCACGGAGGTGATTAACGTCAAAAGCTTAGTGCCACACTGCCGCACTGCCCGTAAGGCGCTCCGGCCAACCCTGGGAGACAACTAGCACACTGATTGCCTATCCCCCGGCGCCCGCGTTTGGCTGATCCTGATCAACCGGAGGTGCCGATCATTCCGAGGGCATACTCGAGCTCTGACGGATCGCCGGTGGTAACTCTGTGAGACTCTGGTGGTAACGAGCGCTCGCGGGTACTCGATGGCGCATCCCTGCTCGCCTACCGACCGCGGCTACCGGCGGCGTGCTCGCGTCTCGCGTGCGCCGCCGCCTCACAATATCGCCCGGGCTGGGCCGGGACCGCGCCGCGCCATCCCCCGCCTCACGTGCTATTATTCCACCCGTACGGTGATTAGGATAGAAAGGATAGAAAGTGTCCGAGCCGACCCGGCGGCGGGAGCTTACACGCGCCGCCAGGCCGCCAGCAGCAGTGCCAGCCTCGCGCCAGCCACCCACCACCCACCGACCCGCCGACTGATTCCGCGAGCAGAGCGTTTAGTTTGTGCATTCTCGTTCTCTCTCTCTCTCTCTCTCTCTCTCTCTCGCCTTGTATGGCGGTGGCGTCCATCAATGAGTTCGACGAGGACGGACGGTATACGAAAGTGATCTTCTGAATCAGTGCCGGGTACCCCGCCGGCGCACACTGGGGCTGCGGAGCAGCAGCAGCAGAGCCGCTGACAGCTGCAATGGCGCAGACTTTGTCAACACGCAGACGAGTTTGTCGACACCCCCGGCCCGGTCGGCTCCGTCTGCGTGCGTGCCAGTCAAAGTGAACGGCGCCGCAGAGTACTCCAATATCTCCGGCTCAATCGGGGCAGTGAAAATTATTAAACCGGGATAAAGTTGGCCAGGATCTGCCTAGATCGGCATGAGACACGGCGCCCAGCACCTGCTGCACCACTTCCACTCCCTCCCTCCCTCCCCGCCGTGGGACGTGGGACCCTTCCGCAGGGAGAGAGAAAGAGACGCCCCCGGGTCTGCCCACCGGCTGGGGCACCCGGCGGCGCCCCCCGCGCGCCCCGCGCCCCGCGCCCCGCGCCCTGCGGGGTCGGCTGACCGGCGGTCAGACTGCAGCGCGGTGGGGCGTGGTGGGGCGTGGTGGGGCGCGGTGGGGCGCGGTGGCTTGGCGCGTGGTGGGGCGGTTTGGCGAGGCGAGGCGCGGCGGGGAGCCTTCCTGGAGCGGCCCGCGCCTGCCTGCCGGCATTCGATGCGCGCGCGTCCTGCCCGTCGGACTCAGGTCGGTTTCGCTCCCGAGAGCCACCGCGCCAGCAGCAGCAGCCGCGGCCCAGCGAGAGAAAGGACGTAGAGCGGCCCCCCGCCGCGGTCCGGCGAACGCGTGCGTGTGTGTTTATCTAGAAGTGTGTGTGTGTACGTGCGTGTTAGTGAGTGAGTGTAACATCCACATTGCACCTGCGGTGTCACTTCAGTGCCCCGACACCGAAGACATTGTAGTGGCCAACATGACCTGCAACGAGACGACACCACACAGGCGACTGCGCGTCGAAAAAGTAAGTATGCGCGCAAAAAAGAAAGAAACATTTCGGGGCGAGCAGCGGATTGTGTGCGAGAAACGACTACGAAGAAAAAATACCGGGGGCAGGTCCGGGGGGCAGCTCCAGGTCGGCACTGGCCGCGACGATGGGGCCCCCATTCCCACCACCAGGCGCACCCCGAAAAAAGCGAAGTTTTTGTAATTCAAGTGAAATTATTGCAGCGACATTAAATGTATCTACGGACTCAAATTCATGGCATTGCACTGATGTCATGAAATGAATGAATCCGCAAGAACACTTCGTAATCTGGGATCAGTGAGGGGAAGCCAGGGGGTCATCATGGTGTCATGCACGATGCGTGTGCAACGTCTGCTACAATACTTAAGTAGGCCTGGATCCGAGCCGAGCCGAGCCGAGTCTTTCGGGCTCCAAATGAGTGTTAAGGGACAGGGCATCAGGCCGCACATGTGTATCTCTCGCCTCCGTCTCGTCCACCTCCTCCACCTCCACCCCTTGCATGGAGGGCGATGACGGGGGGGTTGCGCTCGACTCACGTTGTGTACCGCCCCACGCGAGACACGGGAGGGGATGCCTGGACAGCAAAAAGCGTATAGTAGTAACTGTTGAGCCGGTGCTTGCCGGGTCGAGCCCTGCTACTACTTGCAGGGCACCCCAGACGGGGTGGTGCCATACGTTCTTCTCAGAGTCCCCGCCTTCGACAGGCGACACTTGCACCGTGACCGCCGCCGGACGGGGAAGGACCGAAGTGCGCTCCGGGCAATAAAAGGCGCAAAGTAGCGCCAGCCACGCCCCGCCTCGCCCCGCCCAGTCTCACCACGCCTCACCACGCCTCACCACGCCACGCGCCACGCCCCTCCTAGCTAAGCCCCACCATGGCGTTCTAATGGACTCGGACGCAGCCATGAAACTCCACTGCGAGAGTGGCTGGCTGCCCAGCCCAGTGTCCAGATCCAGGGGCCGGCGGGCGAGTGGTTGAAAGTCCGGCGGGGCGGAGCGGGGCGGAGCGGGGCGGAGCGTCGAGGAGGTGCCGCTGGTTGAGTATAGATATTATTGAGAACTCGTGGACGAAGCACAAGCAAGTCCGCGCATCATTAGGGCGAAGTCCACTGCGGCACGAAGTTTGGCTAAGGACGCAAGAGTCGAACTGGAAAACGCGCGAACGCGTATAAGGCGTTAATTACCGCCGCTTGTAGAGAAGGCAGGAAAAAGTCATGTTAATAGTGGTTCATCTCGTGCATGTGGGTCAGCCCGCGGCGCTGCGGGGCGAGAGAGGTGGGGCGGCGCGGGCCGGAGCGGGCACCCCGGCGGCTCGAGTCACCCGCGAGCTGGACGCAGCCAGCCCGCGGCCCGCGCGGCCCGCTCAAGTTAAATGTAGCGAAGTGTCTGCAAAGGGGGATATCCGGAAGGCGAGCCAGGCGAGCAGGGGCCGAAGCCAGCTTCGTTAGCGATCGACGGGCCGGGGCGTGCTCTCCCGCGCGGCGCATAAGAGTCGATCCCGGTCGTGGAGTGTTTACAGCTTAACTTGCAAGGGGTGCGCGTGCGATGCGAGCTCCCCTACATAGCCCCGGGCGCGTGCTCCATGCTCCATTCGCCAAGTCTCTGCGGGCCTGCCGGGCCATACGTGGCGCCGACAGTTTTTGTTGTTGACTACAAAAGGCGTGCAATGAGAAACAAAACGACGCGGTGCGATATAGTTTTCTGCGTTTGGCTCCGCAAATAAAGTTGCCGGTTGTGTCGGAGCGAGGGAGTCCTTAAATGCGGGCAACGGCGGAAAAGGAGGACTCCCTGTCGCCGGGCGGTATGGTGGGTGGTGGTTCGGGCGAAGTCCAGGTCCAAAGACTGGACGCCCGCTGGAGTAGGGGAAACGCGGCCGCGCAAGGCAAGGCACGCCAAGGCAAGGAAAGGCACGGCAAGGCACGGCATGCTCGAGCAGGACCGAGCAGGACACGGCACGGCACCCGGCGGCACCCTAATGGTTCGGACCGGCCCGGCCTGGCCCGGCACCACGCGGGCACGCCCGCATCCGCACCGAAACTAGTCCAAGAAGAGGACTTGCACGGCCGCCGTACTCGATACCCCAGGAATGTCCGCGCGGCCGCCTCGTCGCGTCGATCGGCGTCTTTATTTTATGCAGCCGGTTTTGGTTTTGCGCCGTGCCGCGCCGCGCGGAGACACTCGAGACGTGTGCTTGAGACGCGTGCTCGAGACGTGTGTGTGTATGTCAATAGGGTACGTCGTGGGCGAGAAGAAAATGAGAGTGGGAGTCAAGAGAGGTGGAATAAGGCGGACGAGGAAGAGAAAGAGTGTGCTCTGCAAAATGATTTGAGAAGAGCAGGTTTCGCCATGCCAACTTTGTAGTCTTTGCAACTAATTCTAATGCAAACAAATAAATTGTTTTCAAGGATGCAGAAGGCTGCTTTCCAAGAATTTCCTCGCAATGCGTCCACCGAATTCTTCGCAATACAAAACGCTACAAACGTTTGCAAAACATTCTTTTTCACCAGCGTGTTGTGGGGAACCGTCAGTGAGAGAGAAAGAGAGGGCGTAGCACTTGCACTCTCAAATAATTGCCTATGCTCTTACTCGATCGCTTGCCCCTACTTTTGCGGGGCTCCGCTGATGTGAGGCGTGAATCAGGAGGAGTGGGGGAGAGGGGAGGGGGGCGTTGTTTGTGAGTTAGCTCGCCCGCGAGGAATTCGGACGAGTGAGGAGAGGCAGGGGCGGTGGCGGAGGGATGCTTGCAAAGAAAGAGTGAAAGTAAAGCAATTAGAACTCATTCCTCTGCTCTGCCGGGGTCACGGCCAAATAAAGAACGAGAACGTACGTACAAGACGAATGGATGCGCTGGATGGAAGCTCGCGTTGGCTCCATTTAAATTTGCTCGCGAATTCGCTCGCGCTCGCGCTTGGTATAGTGTAGTGAAAAGGGAAGTGCGCTAGAGTTGCGCGAACACGCTGAGGTTGAAGGGAAAGATGAATAAATTTGCGGTGTGCGGGGAACCGCGTTTGATGCGGTTCGATATGCAAATGAGTGTTAGTGCTCGCCGCGTGACTCTGGGCTTGGGACTTTGCTGCAGCGCCTTCTCCTCCTCTCTGCTTTTGCTTGTCTATGAAACTAGAAGGCTGGAGTGTCTGCCCGGGCCGGCGTGGCGCGGCCTGTGCCGTCACCGTGCTGCTGCTGCTGCTGCGGCGGCGGCGGCGGCCGGACTGCGACCGGACGACTCTCGCTCACCGAGTAACCTGCATATTATACTAGTCTAGAAGAGTCGCATAGTAGGCCAGCCGGAGGGTTAGAGAAGGTGCTCCGGGGAGACGGTAGCCCCTCTGGGACCAGCCCCCCCCCCCACCCCGGATCCCGCGTCGCTCACACTCCCCGGCTGGCTCATCAGTCGCTGTTTGTACCGTGGAAAAAAAACGCGCAAACTTTTTATGCCTTCACTAATAGAAGCGTCCATGTAGAAACACTGCTGGAAAATCAAAATGACTATAAGAAAATTCCTTTAAATTATCAACGGTGTACTGTGCTGTTCCTTTCTTGAAATGAGATATGTAAGTGGCGGTTTTCAGGGCCGTTGAGGTGAGGAGGAAGTGGGGTGAAGAAATGGGTGATCGTTTAGCTGACCGGGGGCCACTGGTCGAACACCCCGCAGCAGGTAGGGTGCGGTGGGGCGAGGTGGGGGGAGGCGGGGTGGGGTGGGGGGACAGGCCATCCCAACCTTTATGCCGCGGAAGGGGCCGTCCAAATTAACACGCCTGGCGTGATACTTCGGGATCATTTTGGGATCGAGAAAGCCGCCTCTGGCCGCGTGGCGAATAGCAATAGGCAAGGCCGCCCGTCCGGCAGATAGGCGAAGCGGGGCGGGGCGAGGCGAGGCGCGGGGCGCTGATGAGCGAGTGCACATAATGGCGAAGCATTACCGATGTTGCACCGACCGGTTCGCTATCTGCAAGTGCGCGTGTTTTCTCACAGCCCCTTTTCCCTCTCCCCCTAGCAGCGCGAGCTCTGCGGCCCGCGCGCCTGCGGGGTGGGCAACCCTCCGCCCGTGAGCGCACGCGTGTGCTGCGGGCATGCCGGTGGCCTACCCACCAGGCGCCCCCCACCCGCAGCGGTGCGGCCCGCGCGCCTGTCGGGTAGGCAACCCTCCGCCTGCGAGCGCACGCGTGTGCTGCGGGCCGGCCGGTGGCCTACCCACCAGGCGCTCCCCACCGACAGCGCTGTGGTCCACGGTGGTCCACGGTGGTCCACGGTGGCCCCCAGTCCCGGCGAGAAAATAACGGCGAAAGTGCCGCGGCCCGGGGACGCGGAATTTCCCCGCTGCTGCGCCTCCGATTTCAAATACTTGACTACTAAAATGATACCAGCGACTCTAATGAACTGTAATCACTCGTGGTGGTCCGCGGGAGAGACGGAAGCAGAGCGAGCCTGGAGGGCGGCGGCCGCCGCCGGGCGTGAAATTGAGAGAGGCCCGCGATGTAAATCCCCAAAACACGTGTTGCTTCTCGCGATCAGTGGGGAGGCCGAAGTGGATCCGGGACAGCAGCAGGGCCGTCGTCGTTAGACTCGTCGATCATGGTGTCGGCTGGGGAACAGTATAGCGAAAGCAGGGACCCATACCACGCGAACCTGGCTGTGAGCGACGACCTGCGTCGCATGGTCGCCTGCGTCGCCTGCATCTCTGTCTCTCTCACTCCACCTCTTCGAAACCATGGCGGCAAACAGTGATTAAGGTGGGTGAAGCCCGCCCCCTCATGCATGTATCTATTCTGCGACTGCCCCCGCGGAAACTCCGCGTATTGTAATTCCCTTCGCTGAGCGCGTCCGGCCTATGCCCGCCACACACACACACACACACACACACACACACACACACCTTTCTCCCGGTCGCGGCGCGCGGGGCTCCGCCCGTCCTGCCCGCCGCCCGCCACCGCCTGTCCCTGCTCGATTGGCGTTCTGATCGGCCCCGCACGTGGGAACAGAACTCGAGCAGCGCTGAGCTCGCAGAGCTCGCAGAGCGGGCCGCGGGCGGGCCCAACCGGCCCGGCAGGAGCTCTGCCCCTCCCCCTCTCCCTTTTCAACCGGACGCTTCCGCTCCCAACAAGACAGGTCAGTCTCGTCGCCATAGAGGCGGCGCGGCGATCGCATGCCGAGCCTATTGGCTCATGCGGTCCTAGAAGCCCCATCGGACCCTCCGCCCCTAGCCCCCGCAGCCCCTGCCCCCCGGGGGCCCCCCGGGCCTGGCCCGGCGCCCCGGCCTCGAAAGAGGTCACACTGACAGACACACACACACACAGCGCGCGGGCACGCCTACATATACATCACACCGGTAGTCGAGTCCTAAGCCTCAGCCGAGCAAAAGTTTTCCACTTAACCTATTCATCCTGTATTTGAATAGAGCCCTTCACGCGCGGGCTCACGTGCGGGATTCGAGGCTCATGCTTGCGCAGACAAGCTGGTATGTATCTTCTAATTTTCACCCCTCTCCACCTGTTTATTTATTCAAACCCATTATTCTTTTTTTTTTACTACTCGTATCCCCGCACCGCCCCTCCCGCCGGCCGGCCGCGCGCCTCGGCCCCCTGCGTTGTTTTTCACCTGGCCGCGCAGTGAAAGCTCTTTTGTGCCGCACACGCGCGTGCCTCCTTTGAGTCGCGACGTGTCGGCTTATTGGGGGCCATACACCCATTATCGCCGGCTAGCCTTGTTTTTTTTTGTCTTCTGTTACGCACACACACACGCTCATTCACAGCGTCCCTCTGCATCACTCTTATTGCCCCCCTCCCCTTTCTCCCTCTTCTATTTTCTCTCTTTCAATCACTCCACCTGTCGTGCGAGCGCCATCATCACTCCGTTAGGAAACATTAATCTAAACATGCATACATACACACAGACAGGAACACAAACACGAGCGTACCCGAACACCTGTGAGCCCCGAGCGGGTCCAGCTGTCACGACGCGGTACAGGGTGCCCCCTCCCTGTTTGCATGCTGATGATGACTCGCTGCTCGCTGCTGACCTCACAGTCGTCGTCAGGCACATCACGGGCCCGGAGCCCACTGCTGTGCGGCGGCCGGGCGTGGCCGGGTGTGGCGGGGCGGGGCGGGGGCTGGCGGATCGTGGCGGGGCGTTGGCGTCCGATGGCACGGCCAGGCAAAGGTAACGTCACGTATGCTCCGTGACGGCGCGGTTTGAGCGGAGGAAGTCGCCGCGCGCGGGTCCGCGCCGGCAGCTCCGCGGTCCGCCCCCGTTGTTCGCCCCCGCCCCCTCTCTCCCCTTCCGGGCGATACACCCACACCGGTACCGGATGACGTGACGGCGCGGACGGGACAGATGACGGACAGACAGCGTGGTATGGCGCGCGTGCCGTGTTTCGTAGAGTTTCGGGGAGGACCTGTCACCTCGCGGCCCTCGTGCCGCCGCGGCCACCACGCGTGCCTGATGATAACCCGGTCCTTTCGTTTGCCCCGTATTCTTGTTGTCCGCGCGAAGAAAGGAGAGTGCTCCACGGCGCCGAGTGCCTCGCCCTGCTGCCGGGCCGGGTGTCCCGCTGCGGTCATGATGGGCTGGTGTCGCGCGCTGCGTGAAAGTCTCCGCGCCCCGCCTGGCCCCGCCCCGCCCCGCCGGCCCGGGACCCGGGACCAAGCTGCGACCGGGATGAATGAGGAGTGAGACTGTGCGAGCATTGTGTCGCGCTCGCGTCCCATGTCCAATGGCACGCGCCCCGCTCCCCGCCTCACCTTGCCCCGCCCCGCCCCGCCCCGCCCGCGGCCCCCGGCTGCGGCGCCCGGCTCTGGCCTGGCGCTGCCATTCGGAGCAGCCGTGAACTTGACCATGTTGTCTAACGGGTGTTTCCTTCGCTGTTTTCAGGCTATGTGGTGGCTGCCGCTCGCGGCCGCGCTCCTCATGGCGGCCGAGGCTGTCGCGACGGTGACCGCCGCCGCTACTGCCGACGGGAAGGTGCTGCCAGCCGCGCGCGCCTCCACGGACGCCGGCGACTCCACCGAGTCCTTCCTGTCCATGGCCAGCTGCGCCGCCCAGAAGGATGCGATGCGATGCCTAGAGCAGCGCGCGTCTCGGTGAGAACGAGGCTCCCACGGCCCCCGGGCACCCGAGTGTCACCCGCGGTGTCGCCCCGCCGCGCCCCGCCCGCGCCTCTCCCACTGACGCCACCGCCCTCCTCGCCCCGCAGGTACCGCAGCCAGCTTCTGGACGAGCGACGCGCCTGGGACTCCAGGGCGCTGCAGGACTCGGACGCCGACGCCGACACGGCCGTCAAGGCCACGGAGGCCATCCTGGACGGCCTGGTGCCCGACGTCCCCGGCGAGGACGCCATGGAGGCCAAGGATGCCGTCGCCGGTCACAACAGTGAGTCGCATGTCTCTTTCCCTCTATCCGCCCGCAGGTCTCGCTGCTGCAGCTGCTGCTGGTGCACCCCGCGTGCACGCAAAGGGCGAGCGCGACGCTCTCCGGGGGAAGGGCCAGCCTTCCGTTGATGGGCTTCACTTAGGACCTCACTTTGGCCCCGGCTGACGCGGAACCGGTCCGAGCTCTTGCTCTTGGCAACACTGTGCGCAGAGTGCAACACAGTTCGCGCGCGTGTGTGAGTGCTTGTAGGTACAACTGTAGAGAAAGTGATGGCCGGCCAGCGGCCCGCCCGGCCCCCCGTTCTGGTCCGACAGGTCGGCAAGCAGGTGCTTTGTCCCTGACCTTGGTGCAAGTTGCCTGCTGCCCGCGCGTGTCGTTCGCTGGCGCCGGACTTCCCCGAACAGGACTAACGATTTGTCGCTGGCACGCCATACCGCCGCTCCATCATTTGTCTTCGCGAATCGTTCGCTCCGGGTAGACTTCTCGCTGGTCCCGCCCCGTTCAGCTGCATCACGCACTTCTCCCCGCATCCCGTTCGGAGTCCTCCGCGGTCCTTTCACTGCCTGTCGATGTCCAGCCGGCGCAGCCTTCCCCAGCGAAAGTGAGATTAGATTTATAATCGTCCCGATGTCCGACCGGCCGTTTGGAGCGCCCTTAACAACATCCGCGGACGTGGTTCCTTTGGACCCTAGGAAAATGCGTCGGTCGACGCGCCCCTGTGACGCTGTGTGAGAATAACCCCTTGCATTCGGTGCCAGCACGCACCGCTGCCTGGCGACGCGTCCGAAAAGTGTTGTTGCGGCATTTCGGAGGCGACGCAAATATGCAGGCCGAGTCGGTGTGGGTGCCAAGGGCGGCGGCGGTCGGCCCGCTCCCACACGTCCCCGTCGCTCCGCTCTGTTTGAGGAGCTGGCTGGGGTGCTGCGGGCAACACCTGACCACAGAGCGACCACAGGCCGGGCGGTCCCAAAGAGATGGCAACCGCGGGGGCAGCGGGGGACGTCCCGGGACGCGCGAAAACTGCGTGCGAAGCGAGTCAGTGAGTCTTGACTAATTGGTCGTCGCTCCCGGCCCCCGCCCCGCCGCGCCTGGCCGCGCGGGCAGAACATCATAAGCCCCCGGTAGTGGTGTACAAGTTTCACTCTCGCAGGCAGGGGCAGAGGGCCGTGTAGTGCATGGGCGGGTCTTTGCGCCTTGCGCGCGCGTTTTACTCCCTGGAGAGAAAAAAAAAGAGATTATCCTCGTTGTTCTGGTCGTGCGTTCGTGCTGTCCGGCAGATAGGATGAACTCGTAACGAACGCCCCCCTTTCCCCCTCCTCCCCCTCGGGGCGCGTGGCCGGCGCGGTGAGGAGGAAGGGGAAGGAGCTCCACACAGTCGTCGCGGGGGTGGCTTTAGTACCCGTGGTCGGAATCTCAGAGTGTGCGTTGTGGTAAAAACACACGGCGCGTACTGCTGCTGGCCACTGCTCCCCCACCATACCCCCTCTCCACCCCGAGCCCGGGGGACGGGGACCTCTCTATATCATCAGCTCCAGCAGCAGCATGCGGAGCCGAGCCAGTGGCTCGAAACTCTGACCGACGCTAAGGCGATCAGAGAAACAAGCTCGTATTGCAATTATTATAATCCGCCAGCACAGTCTGCCTCCTCCCCC